ATTGACCCTGAACTGAATATGATACCTTTGTTAGTGCTTTTGACCAGTTCTCATTTTTCACATCTCTCAATGCTTCTCTGTCTTCTATTTTGTAGAGACGGATTTTCTGGTCCTCTAGCCATACTACTAAACTTCGACAYTCTTCTTCAGCTAGAGAATTTCAACAAACGTTTTTACACTAATCTACAAATTCACAACTTAGTATTTTCAAACTATAAAACTTACAGTTAATGTTAAATGTATCTGGATGATGATACTCCAAAGCTGCTAGTTTCCGCTTAAACATGAATATTTCTTATAGATACTAGAATAATTCTAGCTCTTCTAATCCCAATAATAACGCAGATACTTTCTCGTGGCATTCACGTTCTTCACAAAAATCTCTTGACGACAATGACCGCAAGGGATCTGGTACGGACCATAYTGGGATTCCTGTGTTATGATATAATGGCGGGAACATTGTGTTCTGATGTTCTTCAGTTAGTTTCGATTTTTCACGTCACAAATCAATACAATTAGAAACAAAATAGTGCTTGAAGCTACATCATGTAAAGCATCATTTCGAAGCAGATTTATACTGATATACTGAACAATGGTACTGGTGAAATCTTCGTTTCAAAATTCCTTCAACTGTAGACTCTTAYTAAGATCTTTATCTGACATTCGATCAAGCAACAAACACATTAGATGGCCTGGAAAGTCTTGCAACAATCGTATGATTCAACAGGGTGCAAAATCTTTAAATGSYGCCCYCGATAAACYAGAARGAGAAGTGAAACAATCATATTGTACAAGGCTACCCAACTTTATGACAAACACTGACTTGTGGTTTGATTGTACCAACTTGGACTCCTTAACTCGTCGARAACTTCAAAAGCTATGCAAGAAATTTGGTATACGTGCTGTTAGCAAGACAGTTAAACTTATTCAAGATTTGAAAGAGTTTCACAACCAAAACCTTTCTGATCCTTCTTCCATTCTCCATAGTCCATTCATTCCAGGTTTAAGCAATTCYACAAGTAATTACAAAAAATCAGAGTCATGTTTCRGTAAGAGTRTTGACAAGACATCARGKATTTTCAAACCATTGGGTGTTTCAGCTTCAAGTATTATGAGGGATGAGGAATTACTGCGATTATGTAAAACAGTTGGTGCCAGAACAACTAGCTCACGCAGCACTGCAAGCTCACTGAATTCTTTAAAAACAAATTTAGGAGAGTTGGATAAATCTTTCAGGATTCTGGCAGATACAAGRGATGAAAAAGAAATTTTTCTTGAGAAAAAGCCAAGTGTTTCTACAATTTTAAACATCGGAAGCAATAAAAACAAGGCATTCATGATTAGTAAATGGAAGAAGAAGAAAGTTGAAGAAATGGGAGAAGAATCATTCAAAAAATATCAGAAAGACATTGTTCAGAAAGGCAAAATCTTTCATTCTTTCATCAAGGAGTATTTCTCAGGTACTGGTACAAATGGTGCTGRTGGTGTTCAGGGTTATGTACAAAGTGTTTCTAATGTATTGAATGACATCAGTTGCGTGATTGCCACTGAAAAGAGAGTATCACACTATAACCTGGGCTACTCAGGTTTTCTTGATACCCTGGCTTTGTACAAAGGCATACCATGYTTGATAGAATGGAAGACATCTGAAAAACCTAAGAAATCCCTGGACGATTGTCATGACTTTCCTTTACAGGTTGCTGCATATGCTGGTGCTATTAACTCCAGTCCATACTTCAGCGTACCYGTTACTAATGGSCTAATAGTRATTGCTTACAATGATGGTACTCCTGCTCAYGTCCACAAGATGGACATGCAGACATGTGACTTCTATTGGCAACAATGGCTCATAAGAGTTCACAATTATAAAAAGAGTTTGGATCATGTTGATAATTAAATAGTATCAATGAAATAAATATTTGTTTTATGAGTATCCAATAAATAAATATTGTTGAAAATTAATGGTAGTCATTTACAGTACAGTATCTAGTTTATCTAATCTTAGTGAATAGTACTAAAAAGTTTATCACACTTTTGGAATATTTCGGGCTACCTGTGGTACTCATGTATCGTGGGCTCATCTAAGAAAATGGCGGACGAAAAAGAAGAAGAAAATTGTGAACCTTCTTTGGAAGAGGGAAAAGGCACCACCTCTGCATTAACCAAGCAAGAAAAAMTAGCAGCAGCCGTAGTTTTAAAGGACGAAGGAAACGCTTTTTATAAACAAAAGGACTATAGAAATGCAATGAAAAAATATCACAGAGCACTTCTCTACGTGAAAGGTCTACATGCACAACATCCCTTTGCAGGATTAATGGACAATGGTGACAGTGAAATAAGCGATGATTTAAAGCAAAACGTACAACAAATAGAGTCAAGCTGCCATAACAATTTAGCTGGTATAGATAATGATATGAGACTTAGAAAGAAGTGTTTTGAATCTTGAGCTGAAATTTCTAAACATACGTAAGCTTATTATTTTTTCCCCTCTTATTTTAAGCGTGTCACGTTGCTACAGAAAGGTGGCCAAAGGTGGTGGATTATTCTTCAAAGGTATATGGATGTGGTTGGGACCGCATCAAATCTAACAGAATTTTTCCCCTCCTTTCCCTGGAGGAATACAAATCACATACGTCAATTGGTTCTCCTGTAGCATGAYAAATAGCCTGTTTTCAAAAATTGTGGTTGACTAATCATGCACAAAAGATCTGAAGACAAGGCAGACGCTCATCTTTATATCTTTTGTGCTTCACAAGGCAAACAGAATTATATTGAAAATTGGGGGCTATATTTGTATACTCTGCGAACAGAGCTACTTTTCTCACCTGCTGAGAAGCAAGAGAAAAATACTCGCTTCTCAGTGGGTGAGAAACGTAGCTCTGTTCGCAGAGTAATATTTGTATGGTATTTGTAAAGACATCGAGACCCACTTATTGTTCAATACAAGTGACTAAGAATCACCCTTTGCATAATTTAATCARTCAGTAGATTCTAACCAAGTCTACATCATAAAACCAGGTTATAGAGCACCAGCCCAATAATGCCAAAGCTTTATTCAGACGTGGTCAAGCGTACATGCATTTAAAAGACTTTGACAGAGCAAGAGAAGACCTGGTTAAAGCAAATGAGCTTGAGCCAACAGGTAAGTCATTTGTTGTTAAAAAACACCCCAGATTATAGTTGCACTTAACTTTTAGGAAGAGTTTATTGATGTTAGAGTTATTTTGCTGCACAAATCTCATGTTTTATTGTTAGCCTTTGTGATGATGATAGTACTGTTTTTATTTTAAATCACAGACAATGGTATCAAAAGATCATTAGCAATACTGGACAAAGAACTGAAGAAAGTAACAGAGAAGGAAAAGAAAACTTATGCAGCAATGTTTGAAAAAATGTCTGTGTAAACAAAGTTAACTATATTGTAAAAATCACCTCATTTGTTCTTGATATTATTTCATTGTTGCAAGGTGATATCATTTGTATGTTATATGCCATGTACTATTGAAGTGTTATTAAACACAAGCTTTCTAATATATTTTCTATGTTTTTTTTTATCTCTCCTGACTCCTGATCAGCCAGTCATGAAGGCATCTTTGAAAAGCTTTAATGATTGTGATAAAACCCTGGAATATAACAGTATTATGCTATTAAAAAAAAATCTAGTTAATTAAATTGCTTTTCGTTTGGTTTTCTATTATGCAGTTCTTCTTTACCATAAATTAAATTTCCTCATAACATATTAGTGTCAATTTTCATTTTTGAGGAAAAGACAAAGTTTTTCTGAGAATTATTGTTCACCAGCTTCCTCCACTACCTCCCCCRCCACTACAACTTCCACCACCAAACCCTCTATTAGAGCCAAGGTTCCCRGTCCCTGTTTGTGTGAAAGGKCTTGCTTGGCGAAASGAAGGATCATTCACAAAGCTGTCTRAATATTGCTGTGATGTCCAGTGATGAATCATATCATGGCTAATGTATGCCGGATATTGCCTTTGAAGACACATCAATCTGAAAGCAAGCTCTGGCAGGAAATCTAGAGTGCTTATCTCATCATCCTTGTYCTCTGTGYGGTTTGTTGACTGTCTRCATATTGGGCAAGTGGCATTGGTTTCTARCCATTTACTCAAACATGGTTCACAATAYTTGTGKCCACAGAGTAAAAGCCTTGTAGGCATTGTGGGAGTAAAGTCTTCAAGACATATTGGACATGAAGCAGACATATACTGTTTACTGTTCTTTGCTGCATTTCTTTCYCGCTCAATTCTTTTCAGTTTTTCATGGCAATTTTCATACTGTCTCTGCTTGTATTTTGAATRAATAATGCTGCCAAACAAAATACAAAGAAAAACTACYACCCAAAACACAGTGTATAGTGTATTTCCAYCTKTTTTGAGYTTCTCTCCACTGAAAACTTGATGCATAAGCTCTGCAGCCAAATGCAAAGATTTTCCATATTTTTCTTGTCGAAGTGAAGACTTCATTTTGCTGATTATAATGTCTATCTGGTCATCTGAAAGTCTTTCCTTGGCTGTTCTTCCAGTAGTTATATAAATCTGTCTGTCTTGGATAGACATCAACAAAAGTACACCRTCATCACAACCGTAATTCCCCACTCCCCAGTTGTTGTGCAAATGACTGGYAAAGTCCTTTGCTAGATCTTCTTTGCTCCTTTCAGCAGGCACGGCCATTTTTCTCATGACGGCAACACCAACCTGATAACCTGGGGTTTCCGACTCACTTGAGCATCCAGAATTCGTTTTCGTTGCAACATGTTGAAGCATTTCCTCCAAAGTGTTGGCTTCGTCGTATTTTAAAATCCCATCAGGATCACAAATCCAGGATTTTACTCCGAGTCTTCCGCAKGATTCGCGATCTTTCGCGGGATGAGGRAAGTGTTCTTTCAGCCATTCTCTACCGTGACTTGTAGTAAGWATTGATAAAAACAGAGAAAGAAGGAAACTTTCATAAAAGAACCGCCTTGTCTTCATTTTGATGTCCTTTGAACTGATGAAATTGTGACGATGTTTTGCACTGCTTTCTTTTTCATACAGCGCATGCTTTGATCCACAGGAATCCCAAACACCACAGGTAGCCCAATACTAAGATTTAAACTTTTTAACAGCTTTCTTTGCTTCACAAGGTCTATTACATACGTTTTCCTCTTACAAATATCTAAAAACTACACAAACATAAGTTAAAAAAAGCCGTAGTTATCTAAACGATTGTGAACATTTTTTGAAAACCATAATATTGGGGTTCCTGTGTAGAGGAGGGGTATTAACCCGGCATTAAAGAGGTACCAGAGTCACCAATACTTGTTCATCCAAAGTACTCTACTATGCCTCCTCTTAGCAACATTCTGTCTGTATTCTTGACAAAATCATAAATATAAAACATGTYCATAATTTAATTACAAAGATAATGATAATATTAATGCTATATCTTGTTCATCTTGGTGACAATTATCACTCTTAACATYTGGTCAAATGATGTACATAAGCAGAGTCCAGCCTGAAACAATAGAAATACAAATTTAAAGTTTTTGTTATACAGAATATATATGCACCAATAAATATACTGCAAGAATCAGTTTTGTTCAGAAATGTATTAGAAATAAAAATAATCCAAAACATTTGCTGCTTACTTTGTCTGGACTCCAATCAAGAGAACTAATTGGTTGAGTTGACAGAGTGGCATTTTGAAGRAGGTTMACAGAACCAACAACTCCATATTCCAAACCATTTGAATCCTTTTCAACTCGTTTCTCTGGATATGAACTGAAARATATTTCACATTAATTTTGTTGAAGTTTGGAGAGATTTTTGGTTTGATTTCTACTCACTATTTCCATAAATTCAGCGTGCCAGATCCACCACATGTCATAAATATATCTCGATTTTGTGGAAGATGTTTAACACACCAAACAGTAGAATTATGGGCCTGTGAAGCAAAGAAGCAGCTGTTTTTATGTCAATGAATAAATGGATGAATACATAAATCAAAAGTGGACTGAAAAATGGAAAATAAAATGAGAATAGAAATAATAATGCATAATATGCATGCTGAACAAGAGACAGGTGACACAATGGGAAACAATGTTATGTTCAAAATGTGCATAAATTGCCCAGGTTTTTCTGACAGATCTCGGTCCTTTTGCTACAAGAGCAGGACCCAGGACCCMGCTGAAAATCAGACCTAGATATGGATTTTTAACCTTTTCACTTAATGAAGCAAATCCTTTGTCAGGGTGTTGTGTAYGCATGTCAAAAACATGGAACTTGGACTCCAATGTTGTGGCTACCAGTTTATTCATTTGGATGTCTCTTCTATCAAATTCTAGACCACATACCTGTATTAATTGGAAAACTTGCTATAAGTATGTTAAACTCTGTTATGATACACATTCAAATACTCCAGTGGGATTTGAAATTTGTTTGSGTTTTAGTGTGAAAGGAAAGCATTCAAGAGAGAACAATTTCATTTGGCYATTTTTCTTGTCAGTATTTGTGTTCATTAGTTCTTATATAATAGCTTACTCCGTTCTTTATGTTTGTTTCCCACTTGATGGCCATTTTCTTCAAATCAAATATTTTGATATCTCCATTGTCATATCCTGCTGCCACAACACGTTCAGATGTGTTATATGCATTACCTGGTAGGGGAAGTACGTACAAAATTAGGGATGAGTTTTTCAAAAAGCTTGATAAGTGCTAAACCTGGGTTAACTACTAAAAAACTATGGAGTTATCCTTAGATTAATAGCAATTGAGCTTTGTACAACAAGGCTTACAAAAAAGGATTAATAAAAATTAGCAGAATATCTACAGCTTTCAGAATAACAATAGGTTTCCAATTGTGATGTCATAGGTTAATTAGAAATCACTAGTACAAGGTTTCACCAGTATGATTTTCACTATAACTAAGTTCTCTAGACTAACAAACTAAAATTATCAATAATTGAACATACCAAAAGCTACAGTCCAGCAGTCCCTTCCCTCTTGTCCTTCTGCTGGTAACATTTGTGCCACAGGTGTTTCTTTTTGACGAGGATCCCAAACACAGACAGAACCTAACATGGGAGGAAAGGCAAAATATGGTTATCAAAGCAAGAAAAGCAATRTTTTTTGTTAATGTGAGTGGARACTTACCATCCCTACTTCCTGTAACTATTTCAGGTGCACCTTCTCCTATCCCTAGTCCTCCTACTCCATCTATTGCATTTATAATTTGTGAATGAGCCTTGACAGAATATACAGGTCTCTCAGTGTTCTCCAGATTCCTGATAAAACCAATATTTGTGTTATTCGTGCTTCCTTGGGTCATTTTGAAAGATAACTGTATTCRCTTCAAAGCAAGAGGAGTGAGTGCAATGATAGAAACAGTTTCAGCAATATCAAAAAGTATAATGATCTATCATTGCAAACTCACTGTGCTACACTGTTTTGATGCAAGGTCACAGTAGCCTTGCAATATTCTGCACAAATATTGTGGCACCTTTGATCATAATAAAGACTTTTTTGAATAAAAAAAATTATATTGTAACTCGTTTGTATAATACTCAGTCTAAACTAGCAACAATCTACTGATTAAATATACCATATCATCATTTTGCCTTCAAAATCCCCTGTGGCCAAATACCGCTGTTGTAAGCTTGATGCTCCAAAGGTCCCACATTTAAATGGTGTTCTCTTTTCAACCTGACAATTTTTAAATCATAAACTATGAACATTTAACTTTATCAATATACAAATACAATCATTAGAAATGAAAAATGTGATTTCCTTACAGTCATTCTTTCATTAAATTCGTCATTTAAATAACATTGAGTGTTTATAGAATGTAGGTTAAGTTGCTTTAATATTATTTCAGTGTTTTGAACAGTTTCTGACAGCTGCTGCTGAGCTGATGCTATCTGCACCATTAAACGTCTGTGAATTTACAGACAAGTCTCTTGACAAATGAGCAGGTAGAATTCAACTTACGTCTTTAAGTAATTTGACATCTCCGTGTGATACTTCATAAATCTGCATAGCACCAGTACCACGAGCATGATTTCCAAGAACAACAAACCTTGCGCTACATGGGACCCACTTCCCATCAAAAACTGTGTAATTTAGTGACTTTTGCACATGTGATATAATCTGAGGCTTGTCCATCCTTAGTTCCTTAAAGTACCTTACAAAATTGCATCTATTTCTTCATGATTTTAAAGCAGAATTTCTTTTCTTGAACGTTTCTAAGCAAAAAACCGCCAGGCGTCGTTACTCAGTGTGCGCATCCTTACTGGTGTACAGCCGCTGACAGCTTGGTGGCAGACTGGAAGTGCGGCAAAGTGTAAAATGACTTTTTTGCCTTTGAATAATTATATATTTTAACATTCAATGACTATATCAACGTATTTATTAAAATAATGTATTTTCTCAACAAGCGAGCGTGTTTGAGTGAAATATGATCTCATGTGACGGGCATTTACTAAGTTGGCTCATTTGTAATTTTTTAATGCCAAGTCAATTGATAATATAATTGTATTCCAAAACCCCGCGTCCGCTCTCTAGATTGTCGCGTTCATATCTCCGTCCTTCCAATATGAATGAAGAAAAAACTAACATGACTACTAAAAGACTTGTAAGTACAGAGATATAATTCTTAAATGATCGTTTTGACCCTCAACAACTCAATACCTGTTTGTCGTTTGTAGTTATTTTCGCTCTTGGCATTAACAGTAAAACGTTTTTGTGCATTTTAGGATCATCTTTCTGAGAATCAGATGAGAGGTAAGTTTCGTACTAAAGTCGACAAAATCTCCACTGAAACCACTCAGAAAATTCAACATTCAAATTAAATATGTAGAATAAGACTGTTTGGTAATTCTGCTCATGAAAAACGCTGCCAGACCTGCTAAGAAATTTCAAGCGACTTATCTGCATTGCGTGCACTTAACACCTCTAAAAATAAAGTTTTTACGTAGGTTATATATGCTTTGTCCCGTTTTCATACCGATAGCATGTCTGCATTCTCAAACCATTGAGTGTTGTTATAAATGAGCAAAAAAAAACTAGGTCTATGCAAAGTACTATTATGAAACTCCCTGCACGATATTAGCAATAACAAAACTGCTGAATTTTGTACATTTTTACACGAATTTACACCAACTACACATGGCTACCCATAAACTATTAAACGTTAATTTTTTTCGCGTCAAACTATCATACAATTAACGCGCAATGATCCAGTAGTCTGCGTTATAAACCAGTTTGTTTTGTATGACCTTCAGAGTACAAAGAAGTTTTCCAACTTTTTAAGCAAGAAAAAGAAAACTCCAAAAATTCGCAGATGTCAAGGCAAGAACTTGTCGATGCAATGCGAATGTTGGGGCTGAATCCAAAAGAAGAAGAAATTCAATACATTCTCAATACTATTGATATAGAAGGTAACTAGTACTTGGCACTACTTGCCTCAAGACTGCATGTTGCTCTGTACCTGAAATTGGTATTTAAATGACAGCTGTCAATCCCACACATCACGAATTTGAACTAATGACGGTGACCTTACTAAGCATAACTTGTACTTCAATTCACTCCATTCAGCATTTCCGCTAATTTCTGCAGGTCCCGATTTGTGAGAGAGACTGATCTGCATTTTTCTGTCTTCCCTTTCTTTCTGCTCTGTGTCTAATAAAACCTGCCCATTTGGCAATTAGTCTAAATTATTTCTCTTTCTAGTTTTCTTCATTCGTTTTCCTGATCTTTCTCTCATCCAATTGCTTGTCTTCATGGCCACGGAATTTACCAACAAAAACCAATGGGTTAGTTACATGACTGAATAGGTGACATGAGACAAGTCAGATCGATATGAACTATTAATGTTTTGTCAAAACCTACCTTTTCTTAGTTTTAAAACTGACCTTACATTTTAATTTCATCTGCATTAGGGGGTGGACAAGTTGAATTTGAAAAATTTGTCATCATGATGGAGAAAGAGAGAGTCCCTGATGAGAGCGAAGCACTCAAACTAGCGTTCTGCGTGTTTGATGCAGACAACACGGGTTTCATAGAGTCAGAGGAATTGAGATATGCCATGGAGTTCATGAAAATAGATAAAAACCTCGAAGAACCTGAACTGCAGGAGATGTTTCAATATCTTGGAATCGATATCGACAGAAAGATACCATACCAAGGTTTGTTGTACGTCATGATATGTTTCCATTGTTGAATGATTGATTGATTGATTGATTGATTGATTGATTGATTGATTGATTGGTTGGTTGGTTGGTTGGTTGGTTGGTTGGTTGGTTGGTTGGTTGGTTGGTTGGTTGGTTGGTTGATTGCCGTCGGTCGGTTTGTCGGTTGTTTGTTTGGTTCTTACAAACCTGTTTATATGCTATATCAAAGTACATAATCTTTCAGAATTCAAGACATTTATATCAGCCAATATTGACTTAAAAGATGTTGAAGATCACGAAGCAGGCGAGAAAGAAGAAGAGGATTCAGTAGACGATGATACGGCGGGAGAAGATCCTGGACCGAGTCAACGCCTAATACAACCACCAGAGGACGATAATGACGAAGGGAACAAGCGTGAAATTGAAGTACCAGTGAGAGTAGAGCGTGAACCAAGCGAGCGAGATCCCCCGACACACTTGATGACTTCACGAGTTTAGAGCATAAACTAAAGACATGTACTAAAACATTGACTCGTGGATGATGAACTCATGGACGATGGACGATGTCCATTACATATCATATTAAACTTTATCATATAATTATCTATGAAATACCTATATTACTCCATTTCGTAAATTTGATATTTTCACTAGTGAAAATAACATGTTATCTTCACTAGTGAAAATCACGCATATACAATTATATGATAAATAGAATATTACATGTTAACTTGGAGATACGAATTTTATCTTTCTCGTGTTGAAAATCTCTTACTCGTCAGCTACGCTCACTCGAGAGAGATCTTTTCAACACTCGAAGATAAAATCCGTATCTCCGCGCGCCCATGTAATATCCTCTATATGTTTGACTTATTTTGATATAAAATAGGTATATTTCAGGACAAAACCGGTATCTTGGTATCTAAGACAAGGAATTCGGAGCGTTCCTGGATTCCGGATTCCAAGCTCCCGGACTGTTCATATTAGATTCAGAATGCAAAACAACCTAGCTTTTTTGTCACCAGTAACTCGTTTTTTTTAATTAGAAAACTTATTTGGATTTTGAATACCTATCGGATTTCGTTTYCACTGCAGCGGATTCCGGATTCCAAAATTTTGTCGGATTCCAGACTCCGTGTCATGGTTCTGAAAGTAATCACACAAGAATAAAAAATATACTTATTAATAAAATGAAAAAAAAAATGAATTCTTAGTTTATTAAAAGAAGTTGCTTGATTCTTTCACGGAAACGTCGCTGCTAACAAAAAGGCCGCGTCAATTGGTAAATGCATGGTATTGCATCGCTGGTATATAAATGGTATTGTAGTGTGAGCTGGTCAATGCATGGTATTGCGTCGCTGGTATATACATGGCATTGTAGTGTGAGCTACTAACAATTAGATAGTGTGACATTCATCACTGCCGTAAGACGATCAAATATACGGCTAGAGACTYGTGAATAACCGCTCATAAAATAGATATGTCAAGTGCTTCTGTAAATGAAATCACTTAGACGCATTATAGATCACTTGATATAGACAATGCATGTAAGCCACTGGAAATTCTTTTTTATTCTTTGATAATAAACACTTGTTTGAATGGTTAACCAAGGCGTCTTGTTTTGTTTTGATGAAATAGTGGTTATCTGGTTCATGGTGGCCGATTGTCAACCTGTCAAGCTATTAGCCAATCAGCGTCAAGTATTAAGGGTGGACAATAATACCCTTTAAGYAGGTATTTGCTGTGTGCAACTGCAAAAAGCGATTTAAACCTTGATTTATCTGTTCACATACAAGATTTGATTTTTCGCAAAATGGTGAGTGAAAATAGGGTCTTTTACATTATTAGCTTCAGATCTGTTGTAATTGCATTGTGTGCTTAATGGTCAATAATAATTTGTAGTAAACATTTTTAGTGTATTTAGTGAAAGAAAAGGGATGATTCAAAACCTCCCAAAAATGATAATCAATAAAGCAATGTAATGGAGTAAGTTTTCCATAAGAACATTTAGATTTAGAAATCCAAACTCTATATTACTGCATTTAAAGTAGCATCTAGCTTGATTTTCCGTCAACTACGTGGAAAAATGGGTGGAATGTCYCATAAACTGTTGGAAATCTTTGCAAACAATACGGCTATTTAAAGCATGGTTTACTAAATTGAAGTAATGTTACTTGTGTGAACAATCAAGTAATGATGATAAACAAACGCTTCAATTAACTTTGTTTTGCAGGATAAGCTAGATAAAGACCAAATAGAAGGTGAGTTTATTTAATATATTTTTCATATTAAGTAAAGACAGAATAAGCTCCGTTTGCAGAACCAACGCTAGACCCAGACGTTCCAGAGTCTTACCAAATTGTTGGAAACCTGTTTATCAAGGTTTTGCTTTACTGCATGCAGTTATAATTAGAGTACATTGTTAAAAAGAACTCATCCTCACCTCGCCCTGGATTTCGACCCCACCTCCCCCTGGATAGCGACCCCACCTCCCCCTGGATATCGACCCCACCTCCCCCTGGATATCCACCCCACCTCCCCCTGGATGTCGACCCCACCTCCACCCATATCATCAGCATGGCTATCTTTACTTCGTTAAGTCATTGCTGTTCAAATCACGTGATCCTCTCGTTTCATTTCAGAATTAAAAGATGCGTTCATAATGTTTGATCAAGATCAGTCTGGATTCATTTCCAGTAAAGAACTCAACGCTTGCATGAGATCCCTTGGTCAGAACCCTACAGAAGAAGAACTTCAGGAGATGATTTTTGAGGTGGATTTGGACGGTATGTAGCGATCCGATTAAAACACGATTTTTAAATTGTTTTGTTCAGTGTATGTACTGTTCTGTTTGTTAGGAAATGGTTTGCTTGACTTTGAGGAATTTGTCCAGTTGATGATAAATCAGAGAAAACCTGACGAAGAACAAATTGAAATGATGAACGCGTTTAACGTGTTCGACCCTCAAAACAAAGGGTACTTTGAGGCGTCTCAGTTGAGAGACATTTTCTATAACGACCTSGAGGACAAAATCCCAGAGAAAGAACTAAATGAGTTTATGAAAGCCACGAAGCTTGACCAAGACAGGAGAGTAAGATTTGCTGGTAAGTTGGCAGTATCCACCTCTTCATGTTGTCAATGAGAAAATTGTAGACATGAATGGATTCTATCTATATCGTTGGTAACAAGGAGGGGCGTTGCTCCACGTATGATCATAAAGGAGAAATAGGGGTATTTAAGAGTGTACCTAATCAGGAGGGGGAGGGGGGGGGGGTAGCCACTAGCTAGATGGACTTACCACAGGTAAATCTGAAAATTATTTTCATTTTGTCGTAGAATTTGTCCATCTCATGGATCCTTTCAACGACTTTGGAGCGTAATAATGACATTTGGATATGGTGAAACTACAACATTATCGCAGCCTATAGGGCTGACATTGTAGTATATTATATGCTAGTTTTGATATCCATCATAGCAAATAAGTTAATGTCCTCGGATTTTGCTGGATGCCTTTTCTATTTTGCAGTTCTTCATGTCAATTGATGTCACTGATTTATATTTCTTTATTAAAGCAAATCTCTCGCAGTGTGGTTTCTATAGTTTTTAATAGTTTCAAATTATTCATTTAATAACACTACAGACTGTTTTCATTTGAGAGAAATTCAAACGAAATCAGTCTCTGTTTCAGCTAGATTTATAGGTTTTTGTACAAAAGATCCTGCTAACTATAGCTAGGGCTCTGTCAGAAACTTGAATAAGTTATTAAGAATAATACAACTATTTCTTTAGTCGGTCAGCAATTGCAAATGAAGCAGTCGTACCCACGCATCACTCTGTCCATCCAGTAATCCTATCTATTTACAAATTCTACAGGAATAAACAAACACAACCAAAAAATAATTACTTGAAAAAACTAGTCTAGACTATGTATATTCTACAAAGCTCTGATCAAAAACGAATGAAAACTTACGCAAGAATATGTACATTATTATTGTGCCAATATGGCAGAAATTTAAAAAATATGTAGAAATGATACAAAATAATGGGACCGTATAACTTATGATAACCTAAAATATTGTATCGAGGTCTGTTAATATAATCTCTTGTCAACGACAGACTGGCCAATATAGTAACTCACTGGTCAAGTTGACCACGTGATATACACACGCTTATCTTATACGTAGTGTCACGTGRTGTTTCTGTAAATGCTCGCTTATTTAACAAAGAGTAATACAAAAAGGTGCGAAATTAATTCTAATTTCTTTGTTTCTTATTGTCTAGAATCAATACTAATTAGCAGTCATTACTAATGTTTGTAGCACAGAATAAGTGGTCTACACTATCAACAGCATCGTCGTCTAATAAATTTACTTTTTACTAGTCAAAAATAAATCATTTTTTCTCTATACTTGAATGCGGAGTGGCGACAGATGTGCAACTTTTTAAAAAGTAAACTTTCCTACCATAGAGTTACGTAAAGAGGGTMATTTTACTTCCTGTCCTAATTGTATACGAGATTCATCGTGACGTAKAATGGATCTATATCACGGGTTAAGTACCATATTTACTATGTACATCAGGGTATTGTTCAACCGCTAATCCAGCGTGACTCAAGTATACTCCAAGCTCCTTACGTGACGTGATATAATCAATTTTCCATTTGATATCGAGGTGGGGCGTTGGCTCCTTTATCCATACTACCAATCATATGAACAAATTCTGTTGAGAAAAGAACAAGATACTCGTGTAAATAGAATTCGTGCGTAAAGTGATAATATTATCTCAGTAAAAATACTCAAGGAGCCGTTCTGATTTTCTCTGTATTTCTATTCCCGTTYACGTCTATTTACGTAATGAACAATRTACGGGGAACGCAGAGAATGTCAAGTCAAAATCTTTTCAGTATAGAGTTCAAAGACTCATCCATTTGGTTTCAAGACATACCGTCATATACTAGAATACCATATACGGTATAAGCACGAGCATATTATCACCATATAAGGTGATTTAGTGGGGGATGTTGATGTGAAGAGTTTCCTGCGAAGTATTGTTATATATACTATTCATTTAGTTTGTAAGGTATAAAAATRATTGATTGTAATAACACTCTATTCRTCAASCAGACACTAAAGTGTCTGATGCGATTTCCTTCTTACCCATGCATTGAAAAAGACACGATCCAACTCATCGATTAGATTCACCAACTACACGATCGAGCGTAATACGTGTAATGACATTGAYATCTGGGGCACCTGTTGTACATTCCAGTCCTCCCGGATCGTCAATCACGTGTCTTACCTTCAAAATTAATAACACCATCTCCATCAAGGTCTGCCTCACGCATCATTTCAGCTAATTCATCGTCACTCAACTTTTCCCCTAAACTCGCCATAGCACTTCGAAGTTCCATTGCACTATTAAGAAAAGTGAAAAGTGTTAAGTCATCGTGTCACTGGTGWACTTGATGAATATCGTTAGTCGATGACGTAAGCTATGACAAACAGCTATATGGAATAGGTTAAGAAAAACACTTCAAAATTAGAACAGAACACACGAAAGATAACGATATTGATATAATCATCAAAAAAACGTGTCGACGATCGCAGCGGTCGAATGCAAAAATTACTTCAACTGCCTCAGCGGTCTTTCTAGCGATTACATTTAACGTCATGGTTCGGTCATAACACGAAATAAACATACGTTATTGAGCCATCGCCATTTCTGTCGAAGACTCGAAACGCTTCCCTCACTTCTGCGTCAGCATCTCGATGCTGCATCTGAGTCTTCATCATGACAAGGAACTCCTCAAAGTCAACCTCGCCATTCCCTAAAAACAACATATCTTATCACATTATGTTTTTGATATTGTAAAACTGACGTATGCTACACTGTTTTCTTAAGGATATTGAGGGGTTTTATGAAGTGCATCAAAATTTCACATAAGCCCACACAAGACAAGACAGCATGACTCGACATGACGCGGAGTAGCATCATCGCCTTCCTTGTCGTACAAAGCAGCGGGATTAAAAACTGGTTAAGAAAGCACATTTAAAAAAATAACCACGCAGAATATTGCCAAAACTCTTAACGCATAATGAGCGACATACGATATTTTGCGTGTTTTAAAACATTGTCTTAATTAATGACTTTTCCTTTCAAAAATGACCATTCTATTTAATGGTATCATAAAACTCCCTTTTTCTTACAATTCATTAGCGGGCTTTAAAATACTCGATGTTTTATTTGCTTTGAGCTGTAAATTTTAGATGTCTATAAACAAAAAGAGCAATAATAACCGAGTCGGTTAATATTTATGTTACTGTGTGGCGTTATGTAATTTCTGGATTCGTGCCCGGCGTTGCAGCTAGCCTTTGGCGCGGTCACAGTTTTTATTACAAACCGAAGTACGGAGACAAACAAGTTGAAATGTATGTTACACAAATTAATTACTTCTGTTCAATCCATGTAAAATGTAACGTCGAAATAAGTTCAATGACTAGTATAAAACACATGAATGCAAACCAAATACACCAACCCAGGATTTTACAGCGAGACCGATGAGTAATGCAGGAAAGGAGACAAGATAATGAAAGTCAGTGTACTCAGAGACACATTATTTCCCGCGCTCTTCTCAAAATACACAACCGGCCGCAATTCTACTATATGCCTAATTTTTCAAGGATTTCTGATTACTTGTATTTTCTAGTAATTGTTCTGTAGTGGCTGCTGTTTTGTATGCAAAACGTTAGTAACGTGCGAGGCACGGCATATTGTAAATTATAATCCAAAAACATGTCAATAGTTCCAGATCATTCATGGTTTATGACTGAATAAAACTGAAGACTTCAATGTTCACTTTTTTGACATCTTGTTCATAAAATTATAATGCAATATGACGGTCAAAACTCAAGACAAAGCGTTTGTCATTTGCAAGGCACCGCTAAGAATCCGAGAAAGCATTTTCCTTCAAGGCTTTGTCTACGGCAACTATGTTTATAACAGTACGTATGCCTTGTAGTTATTGTAATAGTTTTATCCCGGATTCGTTTTTATTAGAATAAATAACAGCCCACGACAGAGCAAATGAAAAACTAACTCTACAAGGGAGATAATCTTYCTCAACAYCACAAATGCCCAAAGAGAAGTCTTTGAGCGTGTTTTCATGRAAAAACGCTTCGCAGTTTAGTAAACGTGAGAAAAGACCACTAGTTGAGAGGAAATGGCTGATAGCGATGATAATGAACGCCGGGAAAGCTGTCTCTTGAAAGGTGAAATTGAAAAGGCGACATTCAAGGCTTTAAAAGACCAAACAAATGACGAAGACTTAAATTTTGACAATTCAATGCAACGAATTTTGGCTTGGATTTGAATTTTTAGTCGATTTTGATGGCTTTGTTTTCCAGTTCTCCTTYAAATGACAAGTTTTCAATCTCATCAATAATTGTGTGCTTACTGACAGACGAGTGTAGAGTTTGATTCTTTTCAGATATTTTTGTTTTTATTGATGTTTTAGCTGGTTTCTGCTGCGCGAATAAGCGATCAATTCTTATCATTTTTTTCTTGGAGCTCCAAACTTTAAATTACAATGAATTAGCGGAGTTAAAACACCAGATAAACTTCGTAAATTGTGTTATTTTGAAGCGTTGAGTATAATTGATATTTTTTCGTGTAAATTGTGAGTACGAATTAATCTGTTAAGTTGGTACTGAGTCGAAGCGCCCTTGGTTGACAATATCAACTGGTCATTCTCGCGATAAAAGTGCTTTTTACTTTTGAAAGCCGATCTATATTTGGCAGCGGAGCCCAAACATCGGCTATCTTAGCAACCACTGATTATATTCAGCTTACCATCAGCGTCAACTTCACGGATCATTTTCTGCAATTCTTCTTCGCTTGGGTTTTGGCCTAGTGACTTCATCACAACYTCTAGTTCTTCATTGGATATTGTGCCACTTCCATCTTTGTCAAAGAGCGAAAAGGCCTCTTGTAACTCTGCAGAAGAGACGAATGCTTATATTAAAATGTCTACAATCTAGTGTTATCTGCATCTATTACGACAACACTGCAAAATACTCTACGGCGCTGACAAGACCTCACCGTTTTTTTGTTCTTCTGTGAGCTCAAARTCGGTCTAAAAAGGAAAAAAATCGTTGCACTTAGCACACGAAAAAGAGCGGGAGCAATGGAAATCATTCTCAAGTTGATTGAAACAAGTTTTTGTCTTCAATGTTTAAAGTTCTTAAGATGTGGTTAAACCGACTCAAAAAAAAACCCCAAAAGACATAAAATACAAGAACCAAGATTAAAGAAAAACCTACCATTTTGTCCAGCAAAATACTGCAATGCTGACTACTCTAGCATAGTCTACGGTGTTTGCGTTGAACGTCAGGCTCGTGTTTTCTACCGCCGCACCACCATTGACGTCAACATAATCTGAACCATAGTGGACAAGACAAATTACCCACGACTAACACCTGCTTCTMCAAATCCTCGTCTCCTGATTGGTCAACATAAAAGGGATATTACTGAATGAATACAACTTGAACGTAAGGGAGTTTGTTGAGCCACTAGGATATTTAATTCATGTATTTTCATGTCGCTAGTTGAGCATTTATTATCGCAGGAAAGTCGAATAAGGAAGTCCGCTTTATTCCTTACGATGTGACCAAGTTATTTGTTTATAAGGTAGTAGTTTCTTCAATCATAAAACGGAAGCAAACCCGGGAAACTTGAAGTCGACGAATCCAAAATTGTTAATGAGACTAGTTAAAATTGAACTGCTTTCGTTACAAATAGGATCGATTTAAGACAAGATAAAGTTGACTGATAGCAGAAATGGCGTCCTCCATGGAGATATGATATATAAACAAATGTAAATCTACGAGTAATAAACATGTAATATATACAAAAACAAAGAAAATATACATATTACATTGATGGTAATAAACATTCTGACAGCAAGACATTTTCATATACAAGGAAAACTAAAAAAAATCAATTATGCAATTAAGATAGGACCCATCCATATCCACGAAGACCGAAAAGAAATTGGTTTTAAAGCAGGTGAATACGAGGTATTTTTAAGAAAATTTGAAGAGGTTTGCAAACATTTATTGTATTTAAGATTATTTCCAAAAGCCGGTTATAGTGTTTTTGCTAAAATGTAATTGGATTGGGGCCATCTCAACCACACATCGCTATTAAAAAAGATTAATACTAAATATTGTCGTCATTTATATTCATTCTGTTTTTAAATATTATTAAAAAACAAGTACGGACTGGCTTATTTAGATTATTTTTTATTTCTTCATCTATTTTTATCACTAATCAAAAATAGGTTTTGGCAATTTTTACGCAAAGACGTAAAAGAAAAAAACCCGAACACATGATTCACAGTGTTTTATCTACGCAATAATCTACCTTCTAATTGGGCAAACAAAAGAAAATAAATTTTTGATAAATGTAATTGACGGTGCGAGATGGTGGCTAGAAGTGCTCTGGTTTGTGGTGAAGTGGTCAAGGGTTTTCTTCGTATATGTCCTTCTGTGGTATTCTTCATGGTACACCCATAATCAATCGAATGACTGATAAGATTATTTATACAAAGCTGTCATTGCAGCAGGCTACCTCGAGGCAATTGCCCTACCATTGTTAACTAGGTATTATTGCTACCTTAAAAAAACCCTGCACGGAAACTCTATAAAATAAACTATGTATAGTGTGTGTTAAGCATCCCGCTTAGAAAACAAGAATTTTGTATATATGACGACATGACTCACAATGTCTCACAAGGCCGCTCAAAACCATCCGTGCTAAATGCGTCCAGTGCCCCGGTATTCTCATACWCCTCCGATTTTATTCTCTCTCCGCTTTACTTGTTGAATGGCTGTTGAAGCATCAGAATTTACACAGGATCCGATGTCCCTTCTCAAAGATCATGTTACTATTGTGGGCGTGCTGAAATCCCACAAAACCAAACGAGAAATTCAAGATATCAAGATGAAAATTATAGTTTTAATGCCTTCATACTGTAGCATGGCCGTTAAAACACAGTCTGCAATGAATAATACAGCTCAAAAGAACGTAGCACCTATCAGCTTGTGAACTACTAACTCTATAATCGGCGCGCGATGAAGCGGACGGTTGTCTTCTCTGGCTTCCAGCATTTTGAAAAAATACGTCAAAAGATATAAAATTCATTTGCGATAAAAGATGAAGAGGCTCCAAAAAGATGACAAAACAACATTCATTGAATTATTAACGGACCGCAAAGAACTTCAACTTTGTCAATCAAACCCTTGAAAGCCGCGCAACAAAGCTTCTTACWGCAAAGACGTCGTTTACAACCTTCTTTTCTTTTAGAGAATTCCTGCTGATGGAAACCGCAAAGTACACAATTGCAGACGCATCTCGGTCTCGGTTTTTTGCTATTTTTAATCTRATATGAGTTCATAACGATTGAACAAGCGGCTAGCTATTTTTAAAGTTTTCAGTATCACTAAGGGCGTAAGTGCGGTAATTAGAGAGATATGACGTACAAACTGTTCGAGGCATCGATTTGYTTCATCATTAAAAAGAAATTAAAACCAACTAAGAGAGTTTAGAGAATGTACAATTAAAAAAGCAATTTGGTTGCTGTATCGATCTGGTTTGCGGTTGTTTTCCTCTCCAAACCATACAACACTTTCCAAGTTCAAGTTCGAATGAGCTGGTTTTCTATTATTAGCCCTTGCAATTCTCTACTCTTTTCCCCGTTATTTTCATGCCCTTATGTACGTATCCGTGAACTGATCTCGTCATAGTTCAAAACCCAATAAAAGCCAATAAAAAAGCCAAATCGGTCTTTCGTTTTACCCGGCCAACTACTGCAGAATGGGCCTCGGCAATCCCGGCTGAAACACATTTATTTTGATCGGGACGACGCTYGTCAATAAAGTTTCTGCCTCTAGCTACAGAGGTATCTCTACAGTGGGCGTTCCCTAAAAGTCCTCCTTGCTACTTTCTCCTGAGCATGAYGTCATATATATCCATTTCCGTATTCTGTGTGACTAGTGAACAATTATAATTTCCCATCATACCCCGCAGTCAAACGATCAAGCTTTCWCAACGACAACATTGAATTGAATAAGCTCTATATATTTGATCTCAAATGAGTGAGCGACATGCCAGAATAAAGGTGTAGGATGTGTTGTGAGTCTAATATCAATTTCACAAAGTYTTTTCATTTACGGGATGATGAAAATCACTTCAAAACAAACCAGGGAGGTAAACAAATAAAACAAGTCTGATATTAAATAGAAAGTCATCGATGCGTGGCAGTCTTTCCAGTGCTAAATATTCATGATTGATACTCAGCGGAATACAAAGCTATTAGTTTAGTGTGRATTAACGGCCAATATCTTTTTATTATACTGTAGTATAAATGGACTAGCTTTTAAGCTTACTTACCTTGACAATTGTTACGGCTGTAAATATACAGAGATCTAATAGGAACTAAATGAGYGCCCGAGAGATCAAGCAGTGCCYAGCTCAAATTTGACAAAGCCTGTTTCGTACTAATGTTAAAACTGTACTTRTACTTTCCCTGCAAGTGGAAAACATCCAAAGCTACGGATAACTCATGCAAAATTCTGCACTGAATAAGGTAATATTCACTGTCAGTTTCGCATGACCGACTTGTTTTGATATCCRGAGCAACATTGCTGGCTCAACGTTTGAACTGGGTTGTGACGTCACATAACGTTAGCAACAGGCTATCATGGYYACGATATCATGAACCCACAAACAAAATACAACAAAAGTAAATAAACAAACAAAAGTTTAGTAATAAATGACGTGATGTCTGATAAAACTATAATTATTACTGTGACAATTTTTAATTTTAGCATTTATTTACCAATGTACATATTTATACAGAAAACAGCTTAATTTTTGTTTCCAACGAGTAAATAGTTAAAAGTGGAGAGCATAAAACTGCTGCGGATTACCAAACACTTTGTGAACACCGTAGCATATTCAAAACACCTTAAAGTATTTTCGGTAGTTTTGTTGTGTAATAACATAATTTACAAGATACTAACGGCTCAAAGATTATTGTCAGTATTGCATGGTATAATCAGGTTGATCATGACGTCATACAAATATATGGTTACATGGATTGCAGTACAGAATATAACATTCTTATATTGAGAGGTACAACCCTATCCTACCTGATAGATTTAAATTTGCCTACGCCAATTATTGCATGACACAAACGTTAACCAAACGTTTTATCACACATTGCCAGTTAACTGACCACTATCTTCAATAAAGCCTGCTGGCCTCTGCTTCGTAAACATTCCTGGATCTGGCCTTGCAATAAAATATGCATACAATGCTGATAATTTGCCARGCAATCCAAGTTTACATGAAAATTACACCGGCAATTTAATCGCAAATGACGTCATGACCACCTCAAGTATATTATGGTCTATTATGSTCACCTCGTACAGTTTACGGAAAGCTCTTATAAAATAGCGACTATTTGTTCGTAATACAAACCTCTCATGGCTACTAAATAAACTATATATCAGAAACCTGAAGTTAGCGGACAGAGCTTTGTGTCGCCGTGACCTCTATGTCATGACCACCTACGATTAACGTAAGTACCACAATAAAATAGTGGATTAAATAAATKAATACAGTTAAAATTCTCGATGAGAGTTCAATAAAATACCTTAAATCGCATACACAAGTTTGCTGATTGCTCTTAGAAAACTGTACCTAGCGTATAAAACTGTCATTGTACACGACTAGTCTATCATGACGTTCATTCTAAATAAGAGAATATATTGGTTGACTGAGAAACATTCACTTGGTTATCCAAACAGCCTTCGAAGTTCAAGCGACGACCAGTAAAAAAAGCCACATTGATGCTTCTATCGCCGATTYATGGCTGTCATTAATGATGATTTAATTCTTATCGTATTTTGATTTACTTATTTTTAAACAATGTTGTAATAAAATTTAGTCATTCATTTTGAATGATATTAAGTGGATTGGACTCCCTGTGTAATGACGTCATTATCTTGCTTTTATGACTGCGTGTTGCTCAGCAACGAAGTTGGTTGCTTTAGTAGAAAAAGCACCAGRKATTTCAATAGAAGATGACACGAGCATGCCAAAGCCAGGACTCCTTTTTATTTAGTCATTAGTAATTTGAATTCTGTTTGGAATAAGAAACAATGAATCAGTCAACGTGTCAATCAATCAATCAACGCATCAATCAATCAATATTAATTTTTAGCAATCAAAAAACCACTCATCGATTAATCTGTCAGCCAATCATTCAAATCAATCTACCAAATCCATCAATAAACCAGACAATCAATCAAGCAATCAAACAAATTAGCACATTAACCAGTACTTAACCAACCAACCGTCCGAGCAACCAATCACATACCTTAATAGTAAACCAACCAACTAACCAATCACATGCCTTCATAGTTAACCAACCAACCAGGCAATCACATACCTTCACAGTTAACCAATCACATACTGTCATAGTTAACCAACCAACCAATCACATACCTTCATAGTTAACCAATCAAATACCTTCATAGTTAACCAATCACATACCTTCATAGCTAACCAACCAACTAACCAATCACATACCTTCATAGTTAACCAACCAACTAACCATCACATACCTTCACAGTTAACCATCACATACCTTCATAGTTAATCATTCCATCGCCGTCAAGGTCCGCTTCCCTTATCATTTCATCCACTTCATCATCAGTAAGTTTCTCTCCCAGTCTTGACATGACAAGCTTGAGTTCTTTATGGCTTATTAARCCATTACCATCCTTATCAAACACACGAAAAGCATCTCTAATCTCTTCTTCTGTATCTTGGTCTTTTATTTTACTGGCCATCATTTGGAGAAACTCCTCAAAGTCGATTTCACCGTTACCTGTTAGTCCGATAAAGAATACGAATGAATAGGAACCCTTCATAGATCAAAACCTCTTGACTTTATGAACAAAGATACAATAGCTAACTTGCAGAATCGCATCCAGTCTCTTCTCTCTCACTATACTCATCGACCCTTTTTGAGCGTGGGAAAAACAGAGAAAGGACTGGTTCGAGTCTGGTGAATAGTGATGTTTTGGTTGAGTGATCATTCACAAAGGAACTAAGAAAGAGGCTCCAAGGGGAAAATAATCTATTGTTTCCCCGGAGCCTCGTCTTCAATTCTTTTGTTTGTCGTCAGTCAACCAATATCAAAAGTGAGCTTATTTGGTAAACGTTGTAACTGTACAAACCGTCTTCATCGACTTCAGCAATCATATCGATGAGTTCTTGTTGTGTTGGGCTGAGACCAAGGGACTTCATGACTTCACCAAGCTCGCATTGGGATATACTACCACCGCCATCTTTATCGAACAAACAAAACGCCTCACGCAATTCTGATATCAAAAACAAAAATCATCATCATGATKATATTCCTAGTTATTCAAGTGATAACATGGTCTATTATTTTGTGATTGACAGGGACTTCTATAGTCACTGATTWCTGAAGATCCACGCAATATTTTCGAAAGCCTCAATTCGACGTTTCGACATGAATACTCGTAAATATCAAGAAATCACATTTTCTTTTTAAACTGAATATAAAAATTATTAGATTCAGCTTTCACATGTGAAAAGCCTTGTCGCATCGCTTATTATACTCATCTTCAACCAATGACTCGGTTTATTACRATTGGAAACACCACGTAATGAATATAATAACGGTTGATATAAGTTATTGAAAAGATGGAATTTAAACAGTAAAAAAGATTATATCAACCGAAGCTGCAGTGAGTCATATATGTAAATTTTCAATCATTCATATATTATATATTCTTGACAACTGCTTACTGTTTTAGTTATCTATAAGGTGRTATTTGCTGTGGACCGTGAAATTTCAGGCGACCCAGACGCGTTTTGAATCCGCAGGTGGCTGAACATGCTCAATGAAAAAAAATCAGCACTTGTTTTTTCCTATTGAAATCGCAAAGACAACACAAAAGAAAACACCGGAAAACAGTGAAGAGAAGACTTGGAACATAGAATATCTGCCTTAAAATTAGAGACATGGCTCTCGTAATATTTTCTTTTATCCTCATAAAATGTTTTGAGTATTGAGACTTGAAGGCTTTAAAATTTAAAATTTCACTTATTATTCAGATGCCCGAAAATAACTCAAAAACAGAACATTCAGTAGCTGCTTTGCATATTTTTTTCAGTAATGTAGAATAAWTCTCTTGGAAAAACAAAACGCAACATGGACTTTGCATTTATTGGTAACCCATGGCAACAAAGCTTATGATGTATAAAAACAGCGTGAAACAGTCATAGCGCGGCTTAAACGGGTAAAATGTGTGTGTAAATAGATGACGAATAGCGGCTGTCTTTGGCCTGATGTTTTCCTGTATTTCCACAATAGTCACTGACATGTAGATCTATTATTTATACAGAAATCGTCTAACTCTGCGTTCAGTTTTGCATAAAGTATAGTTAAAACTACACGTAGACTAGCCGAGCAGGTGGCGCCAGCTCGTTCTGTACACGTATTCATCGGCAAGCTATCCCTCGCTATTTTAAACATCTTTTACTATCCATACAATTTATTAAAATTTCCAAAAAAATGTATCGACATAATTTTGACAATAAATTGTTTCATGATAAATCTTTTTGTGTCAACATTACTGCGATAACTGTTAAATACGTTCGTGGGCTTCGTGGGCATAGAGCCAGTTTGGTAAATAATCTTCATGGTCGCGTTCAATTTCATTTGGAGTGTTTTCTTCGTTGCGAAAACATTCACGRTTTATTCTCTAATATTTCATGACAAATTATTCATCAGTGAAATCAATACAGATCCCAAACACTGACCGAGAGAAAGAACTACTTTGAAATGGATATGAAACTGTTTTTGACTTACCTGCGACTTGCTCTTCGGAGAGTTTGTGTTCCTGTAAAAAAATAGAATCATTAGCCAACCAGTTCACATGTAAATGTTGAGAATTCCCTACAACCAAAACATCGTGACAAGTGTTTTTCTATGGCATTCTGGATTATCTAAGAAGACAAGATATTGAAAAGCTGGTTTTGTTACCCCTGAAGTCTTTAAGTCTGGCATTGCACACTCCGTCTACTTGTAAAAGAAAAGTCCGTGGTTGATTTTCTTGATAACGCTGCGTTAATCTAAAACAGTCAGTATACGTTATGCCGAAACTGTCCTAATTTTGGCCTCTGCATACAGATAGTATAAATAATGTATRGTATAAATTATGTACTCAACCTCACAAAGACCTTATTAAGGCCGGGGAATGACAAATTTTCAGCTGCTTCTTGTATTCCATGGGAAGATTCTATGYATACGAGCTTTAAAATCATTTGAAATGGAGATCAAATAAAGCGCGCGAAAAATTATKCCTTGATAATAACTTGGTTTGTTTAAAAACAACTTTGAGACTAACTGGTAGATATTTGTGGTTTTTTGGACGTGCAGCCCCATAATTACAAAATTGACTAATAAACATCATGTGATCTGTCTAAAAACAATTTWCAGTAATAGAAAACGGGACGTTCTGGWTGATCAGTGTTACACACGCAATAGATTGAGAAAGCTAGAGCGAAAGCTTGAATGAATACTGTGTCAATGCGTGAAGTTCAAACAATAACATAATGGTTTTGGTTTTTGTTCTTACGTATTAAGGTTGTCATAATATAAGATTACAATATCACACACACTGGTATTTAAAATTCCCACTGATATGAATTATAGTCAACCAAAAAGACTGGTACTTAATATCACTTCCTGCSATCACTGTAAGCCAGCGGTATTAAATTCAAGATGGCGGACGGATGGAGCAAAATAGCATTTACATTATTTGCTGCTCTTTACTTTGGAATGTCGAATAGATCTTTCGTGTTTGGCATTGAAAGACTACCTAATATTGTATTATTAGTYGTGGATAATATAGGGTTGTCAGATTTAGGCTGGTTTGGCAATRCTAGTGTAGAGACACCAAACCTTGACAGACTTGCTTCTGATGGAGTGAAATTTACACGATGGTACTCTCAATCAACGAGTACCTCGTCAAGAGCTTCAATTCTAACTGGTACCTTACCAATAAGAACAGGAATTATAAAAAGTCGATATTTACCTTATAAAACAATTCCTTCACTCGCTTCGACTGGTGGACTACGTCAAGACCATGTCACATTGGGTAAGGTGATGAAGAACATGGACTACTCAACGGCGTWYGTTGGGCACTGGGGTCTTGGCGTAGGACGAAAGGGAGCATTTTTACCTCCACGCCAGGGTTTTGATCGTTGGTACGGGGTCCCAGCGTTACACAACAGCTACTGTCTTGTTAAATTCAACCAAACTGAGCAAGCACTTCGTGCTAGTCATGAATATCCTAATGAAGAACGTTCGGTTGAGTATTTATTAATTGTGTTCATGTTTACTATGATGATTGGGTTATTAGTAGCGCTTTGGATGTTCAAAAAGATTGATACRATGACTCTTGTATTGCTTGCCTCGCCGGAGGTATTGGTCTTATACATGTCATACTTTTCTGTTCATCTCATGGATTTCATTCATTCGCGTAACTGYGTTCTGTATCGCGAAAACAAAATTATCGAGCAACCTTACATTGTYAACAACATGACWCTACGTTTTACAAAAGAAACTGTGCAGTTGATGAAGGTCTTTTCCAAGAGGAAACATCCATTTTTTATCATGCAAAGCTACCTAAATATGCACAAACCATGGTACCTATCTCATCCTTTTTCAAACTGCAGTAAAGATGTATTCTCTTGTTCTTTACAAGAGCTTGACTGGAGCATTGGGAAGATCCTAAAAACAATTGAAGACTTAMATTTAGAAAATGATACAATGGTAATTTTCACATCTACTGGTGGGTCTTGTTTAGAGGGCCATGTTTTSGATTGTCAGAGAGGATATGGTCACATGGCCAGTGATGATGGGCAAGTCAAACCATTAARAGGAGGAGGATTGACTAATATCTGGGAGGGCGATATTCGCGTTCCTACAATAATACAATGGAAAAATGCTATTCAGCCAGGAAGAACAATAAACTTTACAACAAGTTGTATGGATATCTTACCAACACTAGTAGAACTAACCAATCAGGTGACTATTAATAACTTTGACGGCAAATCACTGCTCAAGATACTATTTAATACAAGTATTGGACCTCAACATGGCTTGTTRTTTCATTACACTGATATCTTTAGACCTGCTGCTGTTTCATATGGCAGATATAAGTTGGTTCTTATTACACAATCAGGTATAAATTACTAGTTATCATTTCCAGGAATTGACTGGACACTAAAATGAATTCATCAGRTRAAAGAATCATTTGTTAATCATGTTTTTCTTTTTCAGAGGATGAATCAACCACCTATCATGATCCGCCAATTTTATTTGATATTGAAAGCGACCCATCAGAGACCACGYCCATTCCTATTGATCACTTCCCTGATGATTTACTGTCGACAGTCACAGCYTTGATTGACGASCATTTAACAAACAGAAGTGATAAAGGGGTTTCTGAATTTGACAATCCTTTTCTTCCCTTCTATTTTCCGTGTGTTAATGCCCCAGTATGTTATCAAAGGAAAATGGAAGAAGATGACTTTAGAGAACTTTTTAATAATACTATTTAAGGATTAATCACATCATTTCCTTTACCAATCTAATAATTGATATAGAACCCACCATCATAATCCTAGTGTTTCTCTTTTTTTTTAACATTTTTATTTCAAAAGACAAGAGATTTTTTTTTATTAATAAAAGAAAAGAAGAAATGGTTACTAGTTATTAAAAAGTATAAAAATTGTCAATCATACAATACAATCATGTTGGAAATTAGGTATTCTTCCMTTTCTAATAAATTTTGTTAAACATTGAAAATGTCCAAGTGAAATGTTTTCTTTCCTCAAACTAAATTCACTCTGATTCCAAACATTACTCAATAAATATTTTTGAAATTCTAAATATGATTTATGCGATTGTAAATTGAATTTTTTGGTACTCAAARTGTACAGGTTTTTCATGTGGAAACTAACTTATCACAATCACTGTTGGATGTTGAGTCATTATTTATTGCAGCTGGATCACAGGTATCTTCAGCATTTTCCATACCTCTATACTGARCCTTAAGCCTCAATTGCCARTRCACCCATCTATTGTAAAAAAGGGATAAAATACTTCAATAAGAGTCAGTAGTGGTGGTTKAATGGCTATCCACCCTTCATCATYCACCTCAATCTACTCTTTATCTTATCCCTCTGGATTCATAATGGGATCCTATTCGCTCCCCCTTGGGACTGATCATATGATTGACTGACAAGCAGTACTTACTCCCCCTGGCTGTGCAATCCTTTTCCATATAATTGAGTGTGACAGTAAAGATACTTACAAGAGAATGAAGGCTGGAATCAGGACRAATCCTGCCAAYAAGAAGAAAGAAAACCCTGGCATCCAGGAAACAGTAGCACTGTACAATGAGTTGAAGATTACAGATGCTAAAACRGTGTATGAAACCTCAACACATGCAATTGCTGCAAACATGGAACCTGAAATGATAATAAACAACTTTTATTTTCAATACATGATAGCCTTCCTCTAATGGAAACAATGAAATTGATAGCCTTACTCACAAAATGTTCAAACTTTTTTCTAACTTGCCAAACTCAAAAATTATTTGTACCTTGTTCATTTGGTTGTACACACTTTGACATGAGGGATCTCATTGAAGGAATCGTCATACCAGCTGCTATTCCCAGTATAGCACCTAAAACAACAAAACAATACAAGTATACTATTAGACTTATTGGAAGTGTACGTGACCACTAGCTTACGTATCTMTACATCCAAATCTACATTTTACCTTCTTGMATATCAAAAATTGTTTGTAAACAAAGGCGTTAAATAATATTGTTGATTTAAAAGGGTGCTTTCTTTATACATGGTTCGCACAGGCCTGGAAAAGTCCTTGAAAATGCTTTGAGTCCTTGAAAACTCCTTGAATTTAAAGATTTAGAAAAATGTCCTTGAAAAGTCCTGGATTTTGCTCTTTAAGTCCTTGAATATTTCCAGTTTTACCTTGAAAATCAGTTCCTAATAGAAATGTTTTTATTGACATTCAAAAATGTATAAAAATGTTGCTTTTTGCCGCTTTGTATTATATTCTTAGATAAGAGCGTGTGTTTGTCCTTGATATTTGTCATTTCAATGAAAAAAGTAGAGAGGAGCCTGGGAACGAGGGTCCAATAAAATTGGGTCCAATATTGGATCTAATTGATTTGTGGGTAATTTACAAGATGGCAGGGTGATTTAGTAAAGGATTTAAATTAACCCCCCTACTTTAGCTAATTGAATAGCACATGGGTCGACACGGAAATGTGCTTTTTGCTTGTAAGAACAATGAATAAAGGCTCAAAAGGTCAGTGTGTGTACAATGGAAAGTGGGAGTCGAATCCGGAATACAAAGACTGGATTTGTGCTTTCAAAGCAGATAGGAAGAAGGCACGATGCAAGTGGTGTGATCGCTTGATTAATTTGTCAACCATGGGGGAAAGTGCTCTGAAMTCCCATTTAAAAGGCGCAAAGCACAAGCAAAACGGCACTACAAGTACATAACTTTGTTTGTGTCTCATAAACTGATGTAATTTAAAATAAATTATACTTATATTAGTCCTTGAAAATACCAAAAAAGTCCTTGAAAAGCCCTTGAAAAGTCCTGGAATTTTTCCCTTGTATTTCTGTGCGAACCATGTTTATAATTCTGGAAATAACAGCTTATAATGCAGTAATATGACTCACCAACAAACATCATCCACTTATGGGCAGAGAAGCCAAAGAAAATGTACATAGAACAAGATGAGATCAATCCAATRATACCAATGATAGGATCAGACAATTTAAGTTTCCTGGTCAAGACTGGCAATCCAAAAACCACACCAACCCCCTTAACAAAGTATACTTCTGACAGAAAGTAGCCAATGTAGGATGATGAGAAATGTAGTGGTTTCTTCATGACGTAAAGTAAGCTGATATCATTGAAACCACTGAAACCTATAGAAAAGAGATGATTTTTAAGATTAGCATTATCTTTGGTTTTACTTGATTATATTGACACTGTTCAKATAGTARAGAGCAGTAATTAATTCACCAATAWTTTTTTTTGATCAATCAGTCTATCATTACATAATAAATACACAATAAAATAATCAATCCAACAATCAATTATTTCAGAAAGCAGAAGCAGAATGAAAGAAATGAWGAATTTTGTGTTTACTGCAAACAATGACATAGTTTGATGTTTTGATAAAGTTTGCATGTAAAAATGCATTGCGTCTTATTTGTTAATGAACAATAAACATTCCAAAAATATTTATAGGCCGTCATGGCAATGTGAATGTTAATTATCATTAGTATTGATCAATATATATATATTGATATATAACTTTTAAAAATCATCGAAAATGTCTAGTCTTTTAAAATAAGTATAATTTTATTTTATATTGATATATACTTACTAATGAGAGTAGGTGAAAAGATTCCAAAAAGGCCAACAAGAAGAAGCATTCTCATACTATCATTTCTTGGTTTAAAAAGCACTTTCCAAACATGGCTCAGATGTTTATGAATTCTGAGAAGTGTTTGACGGATTATCAACTCTCCTTGTGGATAATATGATTCCTGAAGTACAATTGCAATGTATAATACTATGCATACATTGATACCTAGTATTACACTGTACGTAGCCATAAACCCTGAATGGTCTAGCAAAACTCCAGCTACAAGTTCTCCAGTRCTTGCTCCAAGGAAAACCATCGATTCCAGGATACCTATGCGAAGTGTACGACTAGWTTTSTCTGTTATGTCACTCATATAGGAAAATACTGAAGAAAGAATGGTAGCAAATCCTCCAAACAAACCAGAAACAACAATCCCAATCAAAAGATAGTTCACGTCAATTTGAAAGAAGTAGATATTCAGAAGAAAGTTAATGGCTGACAATGCGAATCCTATGGGAGGTAATATCATGATTGATTTTCGTCCAACTGAATCAGACCACGAACCAAAAGCCAAACAAGAAAACATGGACGGGATTGTTAGTGCAATAGACTGATATAATATCCAATGAGACGTCTTTTCCTGTACTGTATTCTGTTGTTGTTCAGTGAGGTTCTTGCACACGGTGTCATTGAACTCTTGATTGCATATCTTGTGGTATGCTAGCTGTTGGAGAACTGGTAAATTTATAAAAGTGCAAAACATGTAGAGAAACAAGACAGGCTCCACAGTAATTAGTCGAAAGTTGACAGTTATAYCCATTTTGGAGCATCCAAAATCCAGCTTTTTCAGAGCTGCAAACTGGTTCGCTCGTACGAAAAATGAGAGGCGTTCCTAGCTAGTCCCCCGACAATGACTCCTGGAAAAACGATTGAGACAGTCTTTCAATCTATTTTTATTTTTCTTAATAAAAAGAAATATGAAATAAAAAGTTTTTTTATTATTTAAGTCTGTGAAAGCCTACCAATTCAACGAAGAAAATAAAATAGAATCACTGAATAAACGAAATTAAATTGAACACCGAGAGAGACTGGAGCGATCTGCACCGCGGGCTCACTTCAATTCAAGATGGCGGACTACAAACAAGTRAAAAGTGGAAAACTTAAACTAAAAGGTTTAGAAGATCCGTCCAAGAAGAAGAAGCACAAAAAGAACAAGCGTAAAAGAGAAGAMGAAAGTCCCGTTGACGCCGATTCTCTTCGYCATGGGGGCTGGAGAAAACTTGATAATGCTACTGAAGTCACGGGAAATATTGCTTTGCAAACATATCGAAACTCGTACATAGAAGCAACTGACACAGGTGCGTTTGTCGTGGGAGAGCTAAGAGATGATGGGATAAATTGTCCGGCACCAGTTGAAACTTTTACCGCGATTCCTCTGTCCAATAAAATAGGCATCAARTCTGGCTATGGTAAGAAACAGTGAATTTATATTGTCTGTTCTGGTTGAACGTGCATCAAACGTGTTAGTTTTTTTAAACATTTTTTGTTTTCTCTTTTTTCAAGGCAAATTTATGTCAGTCAATATGATGGGYGATGTGAGCGGTAGATCTGATGCAATCGGCCCTCAGGAACAATTTGAATTGGTTTTTGAGGAAGAGAGAGTTGCCCTTCAAGCTTATAATGGATGCTTCCTTGGGGTAACAGAAAATGGACAGCTATCAGCYACTAGAAAGAAAGCTGGCGAAAAAGAAATATTTTATTTACGCACWGATAAACCTAAAAGGTAAGATCTATGACACATAATGTCCCTCAATTCAAAACCACARGGATTCCAATAATGATTTACATTGGCATCATCTTTCAGTACACAAGAGTGCGCATAAAGCCTCAAAAAGGTCAAAGGGTAGAGACCAGACAATGCCTTTTGATGCAAAGACTCGCCTACCTTTCAAAATGTTGCTGAGAACTGTAAATTKGGTTTTAAACCCCCGTAGTGATAATTGAAATATATTAGATGATTTCATCATACATCTTTGACCAAACAAATCTTATATTTCCAGCAAACCCAAATCTGATCATCCCAACGATGAAGATGATGATGTGGGCAATTGTGAACTAAGTTATGTCAAGAAGTTTCAAAGTTTTCAAGATAGAAAGATCAAAATGAGCAAAGAAGACAAGAGCCACCTTGCAAAAGCTARACTAGAYGGACGATTGCACGAAGAGATGCTGAATAGACGTGAAAAGATGAAAGCTGACAAGTTCTGTAAATAGTTTCWGTTTTATATATCCTTATAATCTAATGATTCCTAACTGACCATATTCTAATAAAGTACTTTATTGAATATTGATATCACAGATGTTGTGTAGTTATGAATTCTTTTTAAAAATAGGTGTGCAGTCAACTCTCAACTTAAAAAACACCTTGCTTTTTCCATTGACAGCAAAAAGAAATTTTGGAGTATAACTCTCTTGTTTAAGGGGACACTGATTTACAGTTGCTAGTATGTCTATAATAGTGAAGGTTGACTGTGTACTGTATTGTGTTGTAAKTGTTGAGTTAATTTGATATTTTTTGCATTGTATATATTTATGTTTTGTTGGAAATTTCTCCTTTCAGCTGAATTGAAATAGCTGCTTATCATTTGTTTATCATCCAGAGGAAAGTTGTAAAAAGGGTTAATAGAACTATMCACCTGGTAAATCTTTATCCAACAGATAAAAATCAAACAAAATGGAGTGGATAACTCCATCCATCCTTTGTACAACTGGCCTCATTAGCTGAATATATTATGTTTGTGCTGTGTCAAAGTGACAATCACTTATATCAATAACATTTCATTCTAAAAAGTCTTGCACTTTTGAAATCTACTTTGTGAATTATTGCTTATTTGCTAATATATAAACAATTCTTAGTCCTTTATTTCGTGGAATGATATGATACCAATTTTTCATTTTCCTTAATTTGTATTTCTTCAAGCTAGTAAAGTAAATTCTAATACAGTCTTCCTMATGATCCTTTGCTATTCATGGTTGATTGTACTTCAGTGGTCTAAAGKCAATAATTATGGAATATACTACTTTTACCTTGAATAGCAAAGGATCTTAAAGTTGTTAATTCCAGTTTCTGTTAACTCTGTAAAAATAGTAGATCACTCTTCTCCAATTTTTGAATTAATAAATTCTTGAATCTTCTGTATGATTGACTCAGCAACTTGAAGAGCTTCCTCAGCATTTTCTTTTGAAAACATATCAGATGGAGTTGACTCACCATGATGAAAATGGGGGTAGCGAGTCTTCTCGTAGTAATTCTTGAGTTTTGCAGCAAGTTGTGCAATGTCTGATGGAGATCCRTCAAGTTCTGTGATCTCATAAGCAAGGTTCAAGACATCATGAGTCTCAAGTTGATTCTCTGCAATTCCACACACTGCATATAAAGCAGCCTTAAATGCTTTCTCTGTTGATTGTTGACAGAGGAAGCATATGCAGTTGTTGAAAGACTCGGATTCTTGTAGAGAGAGACACTTGGCTGCTGCAAGGTCATCATTAGCTTGTTTCATCCATCGTTTTGCTTCTTTGCGCTGAGGGCTTCCAGTACCAAAGTGAGGAGATTTCTTCTGGCGTTTAAAAGTGTTGAATGTTTCCCATTCTTGATGGGCTCGCTGATTCCACTTTTCAAATAGATCACTAAATGTTTGTGGTTGGGCTGCAGGAGTTTCCTTTTCCTCTGGAGAGTTCTTCTTCCAGCTTGTCGGAAACAGCCGTTCCAGYCTTTCAATCTCTCCTAGTAAGAACTTCATGATTTCATTGGCAATGTCGCATCCTGGGTTTTTATCGGGATGCCATCTTAGGAACAATCGTTTGATGACTTTCTTTCTTCCTTTGTCATCCAACTTCCAAGCTTCCCAGAGTACCTCCTTCACTTCTTTCATTGCGTTCTCCATGCGAACATTCCTCGTAGCAGCTTTGTAATCAGGAGAATCAGGATCTCCAGTAAAWGGCATCATGTCTGTAAGATCTGACAAGGCTGTAAAGTCAGCTGAAGTACGATCAAATTTGTACAAATCGAGAACGCTTACTTCAACTAGTTTAGGCTCTCCAACATCAATTCTATAGCGAGCTTGTAGATCGATCTTTGAGCGGTCTTCCAAGTCGGAACTCGCGCTAACTTTGGTTATGATTTTGGCATAGACATACAATGGTTCTCCATCATCTATTTGACCGTCATCTTGTAACCTTTCTTTCTCATAGCCAATAATCTCATCCTGGCGGAAGAAGTAGTCTAGATCCTGCCTCAGCAAATAGTGGTACATGGCAGGTATTTCAGACCCTAATGAAGGATCTTTAGCACTAAGTTCACTCGATAGCAAATCCTGAGCCACGCCACAACGATCTAGTGCTGGTAAAATGTCATCCGGTACTCTGCAAGCAATCATAGCTTGAAGATAGATCTCCTTCTCAATATGGTTACCAATTAGTCGATTAATCAAGAAGCACAACTGAATGTTAAGAGGATTTTCGTCTGTCCCGTGCTTGATAAACAACTCCCACCTTTTGTCACGCTCTTCTAAAAAGCAGTCTTGTGATTCCTGGCTGTTTTTTATGGGAAATTTGGTTTCCAGGTTCACCAGATGAGTTTCGACGGTTCCCATGCACGATACATTTAACGCAGAAAGAACGTGGACTTGATCACGTACTTCTTGTGGTACGTTAGCTGTTTGCCTTTGATGCTTGATCACCCTGATGATACCATTGATGAACTTAGGGGACAAAAGGATGTTTCTGTAACGCGCTATAAACGAACACTGATTATCCTGTCTGTCGGCGATACAAAGTTTGTCTCTGGAACAAGGATGAAACTCTTCATGGATTATACTTTGGATGGTTCGTGCTCTTAGACGTGGTGGTAAGATATCAAAAAGATGAGCAAGCCTGTCAGCTGTCAGCTCCCCTTCTCTAGCAATATCAACAAAGCTATGAGCATATTCACTTGCCCGACGCTCAAAACTTGGGTTGTCGTACACTATCAGCTCATGTGAAGCTTTTAAAAAGCCTTCCTTATTTGGCAAGTAGAGCTCTTCGATCTTCGAAAGCAAAAAYGTCACTGATGATTCTTTTTCCTCTTTGAGTAACACGGAAACTGATGAGAAAAATCCTTGAGATGCCATTCTTGCTACACGCTTCTCATTCGGTTCCATACGCTTGTCTTCRCACACCTCTTTCAATCGTTTAAGAACAGCAGCAAATTGAAGAGGTGTCGTCTTTTCTTCGGCCCCAAGACGTTTGAGAACGTGTTCAAARTGACCATATTCTCGTGGGACTTTGTAAAGGAAGGGTGGCAGCTCAACATTTGTCTCGAAGGCCATTTGTTCGCCCTGAACGAAGACTCGTCCTTCTTCAACTGGAATACAACTGATCTTTCGGAGGATTCTACCAATTGATTGACAGGACTTAGAGCATCCATCTGAGGGACTACCTTGTGGGCAACCCGTTTCTGTTCTAAAGAAACCTAAAATGCTGTAAATCACATCGTGAAGAAGCTCTCTTTGATCTTTCGGTGTATCTTTGTTCACATTTCCAGCGTATTTCTTTGATAAATTTTCTAAATGCTTGATAACTTTGTCAAATGGTGGAGCAACTTCAATGCCAAGATTATCCACCAATAACCGCTGGTTTTCTCCACTCTTTGGTAGTGCCCACGTCGGCAACAAAGAGGCACTGCTCCACAAAAACTTCTGACATTCATGAGAAACTGATCCTTGGAAAGCAGTATAAAGAATGGTATCGTCTTGGCTGTTACTTTCAAATTGTTCGTACAGATTTTGGAGGTTTGCTGAAGCAGCTTCAGCAGCAACAAACCTAATTTGAGCGATAACATGCAAGAAGCTTATATCATGAAGGCTTTCCTCATCAAGCAAGTACGTTACCAAAGCTTTTGATCTTTCTCTTATCTTAGGGTCAGAAGGGTTCAATTCAGCGCTGCTGGCAGTAGCCTCTGCAAACTCTATAAAATCTTGTTGAGTCACAGTCTGCTTGAGGCCAATTTCTCTAAGAAGAGAGAGCCATTCTTCACTAGCAAATTCTCCTGGTGGAAAGCTCTCTGTTGGGAGTATGGTTTTAAACACTGGATTTGCAGGATCATAGTACTTGCTTGCAGGTGTCAATTCTCCCGCTTGGTCAGGTAGAATATTGACACCAATGAGTGTATCAATGATGACACTCCTCTCATTAGGACTTATCGTCGACACCAGAAGATTGTCTCGGATGTATGCTAACACTGAATGGCGACCTTCTGCTGTCATAACATCAAGATTTGGAAGGATGTACTTCACAAAGACTTCACTTTTGGACACGCGGTAGACGTCTATGGCCTTGTACAACGCCTCGAGTTCGGGAATCTCTTCTAAGAGAACACAGCCTTCCATTTCTACACGAGATTCGATGTCCTTTAGAGGGACGCATTTTGGTAGCTCAAGGACGTAGGCAGAAACATAGCTAGACAAGCTGACATTCTTTCCATTGAGTGTTTTGAAGAATGGAAGATGTCTTATGGTGGTTTTATGACTATAAACCGTTGTCACGTCTTCTTGAAGAAAGCTGAGGAGTACTAGGATTTCGCTGTCATTGAGATTTTCTGATATATTCCTTTCTCTCATAAGATGTTCTAAAACAGCCAACAAGTCAAGTTTTGAGCTTGGTCGCGCCAAGTACGGGCCTAAAATCTGTGGAAGCTCGGGGGCATCTAAATCTGGGAGAACTGAGAAATCAAGTTCTCCGCATCCTAGCTTTTTCAGACTACTGACTAGCGCTTCATTGCCGTCTTCATRAGATGTTACAGCAAGAACGGTTTTGCCAAATGCAATTGACACTAAGGCTTGTGAACTTGTGGGGATRATAGGCCAGTCCTCGAGGGGCCGGAGAATCTTAGCCGCCTCATCCTTTTTGATGAGTCGTTTCTGGCTTTCTGTTACGACCTCGTAGATYAGTTTCCACAAGAGTGTGAGCCATTCGCGAGAGGGCTTAGTCTCTGAAGTTGGATCCCAAGGTACAGGTCTATCGAGAGCATTCCAATGCGACGGCAACAAATGAACCATATATGGCTCAAGACTGCTGGTATCAAACCGTTTGAAAATTCCAGATTTCTTGATAGGATCTTGGAAGTGTTCWGAGAAGAGAGAAACAAACTCTCTGTTCAAAAACAACTCCTTTTGTTTGGGTACAAGATCCAGAAATGATGTAAAGAAAACGGGATGCTCAATGTCAAAACGTCGTAAAGTTCCATCTTCCGTTAAAAGGAGGGGGAGACCATGCAGTCTTGTAATTACGCCTTTACTCTGAATGCAATATTGCATTAAAGTGGCCAGGTTCGCGCCATCTTTCAGTTTTGAATCTTTGATTGAACATGGAATTGGACCGATGCTACAACGTGGACTTCGTAGAAATTTTAYAACGTCTTCTGGAGTTACTTTCTTAACAGGAGCACCTGCATCCTTGAATTGCTTGTGGGTGTGAGATGACGAGAACACTACTGGAAAGCCAGTGTTGAGTAAGAGTTTTTCCAGATTCTCCGGMAGGTCACTGAAGTACACCACTTCATCTTCGTCAACGGAATGAGGTGGTAACCAGGCACAAGGAATGGGAATGGTACAATCATAGTAACTGGACGAATGGCCTTGCAGCTGTCTAGGAGGATCTGAAGCACCCGTCARTTCATCYTGTCCTTTAAGGACGGGCAAAACAGGAGCRTGTGTCGATGCAAGGCTAGTGTAGACAGCAAGAACAAATGGCTTCCAATCAGTGTGAACAACATCGGGATCGGGAAAGAGACTTTGAAACCACTTTAAACCAAAATGGGCATCCCTTTTGCTAGTGAAAAACCAAGGATTTCCTTCATGTATTCCGTGKATATGTACCCGGATRCCTAAAAGCAACTTCACATAAGCCGGTGCAACTATTTGAGTTTTGACAAATTCGTTCCATTCACTTCTGGAATCAGCTCCATCTTGATCAATCCAAAGATTGCGTCTAGAGTTATCAAGCGCAAATTGCCCATTAATATGSACAGGAAGACCAGTTTCGCTTTGAAGAGGAAGAGAACAGAATACGTAGYGAGGTCTTCTCTTTGAGCTATGTTGTGTACTTCCACTTGTTGAATCCGTTATGCTCACACAGGCTGCAATTCCAGCACACGGTAAAAGTCCCAGTTCCTTTCCATCTGGAATATCGTCTTCATCTATGAACTGCTCAGCTCCAAGGCATTGATGAACAAGCCATTCTTCACAGCTTTTGTTGGAATCTGAAATTTTCAACAGGTACGTTGAACCATACCACGGGATGTCCTTTGTAGGCATTTCCTTGCAAAGACTTACTTGAGTGCGAACTTCTTGGAGACGATTTTTTCCTTCGTCTGTGACCGATGCTRTCACCTGAAATTTTGTCACTAAGCGGTTCCCAATCACTTGAGAAATGGTGATCTTCCTGACACTGCTAAGAAAAAGGAGAGCCTCTTTTGCTTCATTTTCAAATGCGCTCAACAGGCGACTGATCTCCAAGTCATCAAAGCTTCGTTTTGATATTTCCGAGGTTTCTGCCATGSCTTTTGTTCTCARTGGAAATCGAAACATAGTGGCACCYTCRAGWACGAAACAATCCTGGAGGTATCCATCYATCACGTCGCAAAAATCGTTCCTAAACTCGAAATCCAACGGCTCCAACAGCCTTCCTGGCGAGTCTGCTGTAGCATCGGGTGCAAATTTGGCATGGGGATCTAAGATACACAAGGTGTTTCCATCTGTGATAAAACTGGGACATTCTGTTAAATGGTAAACAGCATTGAAGCCAATGCCGTACTGTCCAATTTTGTCCGAATGTTCTGCTTTATTACCAAGTCCCAGTCTTTGTATGCCTTCGATRTCTTTGTCGGAAAAAGGTCGGTCATTGTACACGCATAATGCAGGACCTTGAAGTTGTTTCCAACGCTCATTTAATACGTGCTTGGTCCCATGTTGYCGAGGATCATACACAAAATGTATTTCYGATGCTTGKGCGTCATCTGCGTTTTGCAGAATTTCCTTAAGAATTCCGGAGTCACAGGGGTATGAAGTAAGGATATTTTTCAATCTCATTGTTAAATGCTCCACTTGACCGAAAGGTTTACCCATACAACGTGAATACTTGTTCAGGGTGACGTCACGGAGYTTGTGAGCCCCAAGAGAGTGAGCGAGCTTCGATGATATGTCGGGATGGACACTTTGTGAAGTTTTGTCCTGACTGAGCCAAGGAGCGTCATTTATCACAAGCTGACCCACAGGTCGTAGAACTTGCTCGGAATCCGGGATTGGTAAATGTTTGTAGAATGACTCCAGAGAATCAGGATGCATTTCCGATAACTCATCGAGAAATGCTTTGGTGGTCTTAAACTCAGATTGATCGAGAGGTTGACCCTGTTTCCTTTCTTGAAATGAAAACAAAGCTTCGATGTAATCATCAGCACCAAACATCCTACGAACTCCGCAAGCCTCGAAAAGGTCAGGAAAATTCAAGGCAAGCTCTTCTGGGAGGCGAAACAGAAATGGGTCACCATGCCCACTCCATTCTAAGGCAACTTGATTTGTGTTGACGAACTTTGAGTTTACTAAGATCCAAGGCTTTTCTTGTAAAATTTCTAAAATGGCCTTTCTTTCAGATGTTTGGATTCTCTCTTGTAGGAAGTGGTAGACAGCAAAGCAGGTTTCTCGTATACAAAGCCAGTTGATATCTGYCCTTTGGATCCTTGTCTTTTGGACCGCCGATGATAACTGGAATAGAACATCCTTAGTCTCAATCTTCTTTTCAACTATTCCAAGAAGTTTAAGACATTCGGGCTCAATSTTTCCACATCCTGATTCTAAAGATTCATCAAGAATGGGCTTGCTCGTACCAAGTAGGTACTTTAACTCGCTGCCATAYAAGTTWACAGGAGCTAACAGTGCAATTCCTCGTTTGCTTGGCTTGTAACTTCCCTTCCATGGAATGCAATATTCGCGWGGTTGGTCCATTACAGGAAGAAAGCCAATGCTCCGTAAAAGSTCGACCTCTGCTTGTGCTGGCGCATCTAGTTTGGTGATTTGATTATTGAGGTACTTTATCAACGACTGAACTCTTTCCAAAGCCTGCTCTTTGTTATTTTTCATTTTGGCAATGCTGCTTGCACGCTCGCAAATAGCTTGCCATGATAAAATGTCCTCTACCATCCCAAGCTTTCGCAAAACAACMAGTCTTTCTTCTGCTAGAATTGTGTTACCAAATGGGAAGCGATGCTCACTGTCAGAATACAGTTCAGCGGCAGCTCCATGTGGATCTATCAGTGCTTTTGGAGAAACTAACACAAGGCCATCTGGAGAAGATGGAATACATGGGTTATCTAACAGAAACTTGGCAAAGTGTGTCGAACCTCTAAGATACTCATCAAGTACACTTGAGATAACTGCCTCCCTTGARCTGACTGAGAGTTTGTCGATGTTGACAAAAAAGATTTCCTTTARAAAGATTTCCAGTGTTATGGTGTGCTTGTCCAACGTTTGAGCTAATCCTGCCTTAACGAAGGCATTACACACAAATTCAGGATAATCGATTACTTGATAACCGCACTCTTCCATGATRTGGTCGCACTCAGGAAGTCTACGGACCTTTTCATCAATGTGCACTCCTTCTTCTATACTGATCCACTTTGATGAACTTCGAAGCAACGGGGATGAACTTTCACTTATTTGCTGGTACACGCTGTTCACAAATCGTCGCCACATTTTTGTTGCTGCTAGAGTTGGATCGGGCCATAGAACTTCAAATGGGAAGCTTTCAACTTTGCCCTCCTTGTTAAGTATAACCATATCTTCTAGAAGATGAATATATGCGACAGATGCAGCATCTTCGAGAAGAGTTTGATTCCAGAGAATCTCAAAAGGCTTTAGAGAGCCATAATCTGTTACGGTGTCTTCCCATAATCCTCTGCGATTTGTTGTCACCGCAAAGCATCCATTTACATGGACAGGCAATCCTGTTTCCAATGACAACGGCAATGAAAAGAAAGCTTCTCCTCGCACTGCCTGAGGACTCCAAACGTCTTGAATTGAAGTCGGYGAAAGCATGGCTGCTACTCCCGCTTGTGAAACCAAGCCTTTCAACTTCCCCTCCTCTGTCGCAGATAGATCAATRGACAGACTTCGACCCCCTGAATATGACACTAGCCACACTTGTGTAGTTGCTTGCGTGACTTCATTAGCAAACCACGTACAAGGATAACATTTAGATTCCAGTGACACAATCCGAGATTCTTGCATCTGTTTCAGCTTCTTCAATTTAGGGGATTTGTAGCCAGCCGTTTGCGAATCACTTTTCGAACGCACATGAAAKACTCTAGGGATAGTTTCTACAATTTTCTTCTGCAAGCAAAACAGCTCCTTCATCTTTTGATCTTTAGTAGTTGGTTGCATCTCGTAGAATKTGATGGTCGTAACGTTGTTGACGAAAAGTAAAAGATTGGATGCGTTTTCTCGGAAAACATTCACTAGACTTTGAAAAGCATCTTTATCATAATGCATATCAGATATTTCGCTCGTGTCTGCCTGTTCTTTGGTTCGCAGTGGRAATCTAAACAATGTGCCGTCATAGTAGAAATCTTCCGCAAGGTTCTCGGTTTCGCATCCAAAGATCTTGTGATAAGGTAAAAATTGGTCTTGAAARGTACTAAGTGCCTTGAAGTTTCTCTTGAGATCCAGTCGAATRCCAGGTCTTGTCCTGTCTTTGATAAGATGGCCAAGATGTGTGGTCTGAGGATCAAAAATAACCAGAAATTCACGGCTTATAAAACTTGGGATGTCGGTTAGGTTGTACGCCGTACAAAAACCCAARCCAAAGCGGCCGATCTTGTTTAATGAATCCATCTTTGTGGCTCCGGCAAGCTTGTTGATGTTTTCAAAATCTTTGTCAGTGAAWATGGCATCGTTATACGCCCACAAAGCAGGTCCTTGCGCATCACTCATCCCTGAAGAAAGGAGTCGTTCGGTAGGATTTTCTCTCCAATCAATGAGGAATTTAACTTCAGTGGCACCTGCGTCGTCTGCATTCTGTATTAGTTCCTTAAAAAGCCCAAAACCATCTCTRTATTCCTTAAGAATGTTCTGAAGTCGTGTCGTCACGGGCTCATGTGGCCCAGTTTGCTCGAATCCAAGCGTCTCCACAAACTCCAAGCTTTGGCTCAATGGTTGAACGCCAAGAAGATTTGCTGTGTGGGAGGAAATACTCTCATGTATTATCTTWGTAAAACTGACGTCTACATCATCGGGCTGGCTTTTAAGCCAATCGGCGTCACAAAAATTCACTTGACTCAAAGGTTCTAGGCACAACAAGTCGTTTGAGGTTTGTATAGGGACGTAAACCTTCTTTTTGAGCTCGTCTGAAAGCGATATTCCGTCTCGTATGACATAATGCAAAATCTCTGTCACCAAGTATAAATCGTGCTTGACCTCAACYGGGTCTCTCTTGTTKGAATGCCGTTTACGCATCAAGGACAAGATCTCCAAGATGTCTTCATCTCCAAAGGAATCTTTAACTCCACTRTTTTTCATGAGATCGCTGAACCGTTTAAAATCATCAGGCAGAACGTACAGATAAGGCTGCAAGTCGAACGGACAGCAAGCTTGAAATGCAACGCAATGGGGAAATGTGAAACGTGAGCCACACCACACCCAAGGACCAAATTCCTTTTTCTTGAGGGTCGCACTGGCGTTGATRACTACRCTGGGTTGAGAAAGATAAGCATAGATCTCCTGAACCATCGTCTGCAGCTTAAGTGTCTCTGTTTCAGATTTTTTCATGTTCGAATCGCTCCAGTGTTTTGATACTGTTTGTAATTGCTCCAGRACAGATGTGGGTGAAGGTGGAGTTTCCCATCCAAACGCTTTCCTTAGACTTTTATTAGCATTGAATTCAATGGTGGGTTTTATGGAACCTATTAAGCAGGCRTCATCTATACTGCGTACCTCCCTTGGCTGGTAAAGATGCTGATCGCCATSAAACCATGGTATYGATATAGGGTATTTATTGGGTGGATTTCKTGAGGCTGGAAGCCATGGAAAGTCTGAAAGGGCTTCTGATAATAAGACGTAGYTGCTAGATCCAGCTCCATTGTTAGTGGTAACTCTTGTTTCTAAAAGATGGTACTGCTCGTTAAGGAATTTTAATAGCGCAAGTGCTCTTTTCTCTGCTTTATCTTCAGGCATGTCCGCTATTTGTTTGGCTATCGTAAGAACGTCTTCACCTCCAAGAGATCGACTTCGTCTTAAACCCAGGAACACTCGTAGAACACTCAGTGAATGCGATGTCGCAAATTCCTCGGCAGGAAAAGCTGTAGGTTCCCCTTCGAACAAGTGTTTCAAAATGTCATCGTCAGGATCGAAAAGATCACAAGGTGCTTTGAGTTGATCGTTACCAACTGGAACAAACTTCAAACTCTTGAGATGATCTGGGAATGATCTGTTTTCACTGGATAATACAGGTAGTCTCTGAAGCACCCATGTCATCAAGGCAGTAACTTGTTTTCTTGTGTAAAATGCCTGTCCTTCGACAAATGGAAATACCTTTTGAAAAAATAATTAACTCGGAGTTAGCAGTGATTAAGAAGGTATATCACGATACAGGTCAATATAGAACCTTACCTTTTCAATAAGGAAATTTGACATATTGAGAATTCGTACAGGWAGTCGTCGTAGTAGCTGATATGAATCTTCGTCGGAAGCAGAAATGATCTGATCTGATTCTGGTATGAGAATGTCACCTGGTAAAAAAAAGAGCAGACTCTATAGTTATCAGACATTTAATGATTCCCAAGAGAAGCATAAGGCTATTCGTACATAAACGGTGTAAAAAACTGCTTGWWTTTCACTACCCAACAGCACAGATTGGCATGTTAATTTTTACATATTTCCATACCTGGGAGACTAAGGCGAGGTGGGGCTACGTCGCGTTTCAATACAGATACAGTTTCGTGATCACCGCATTGCAGTGACGTAAAGCTACCGTCAATTGCTTCAAAGATCGGTAAAGACATCAATGTCACAATCTCGTCGTCCGATGGATTTCGAAGGCTTGACAAGAAGGAACGAAYAGATCTCTTATCGTCTGAYGACAGTTGAGAGATGGAGCGAGCATGTCCTTCATCAATAACGGAAGACAAAACCTGTGTTCAAGAATMATTGCTAAYATTAACATCATTATCTTRATTCTGTTGAAGTCWTCCAYAGTGGCCATTGCGCCACATGGAATAGACCTAGTAAGATAAATTAGTTATTCTTTATCAGTAAGTTACCTTCAGTACACCTGATGGGGTCGGTGGYTCAAGATGCTTCCTTAAATCCAAATGATCGCAAAACATCGGTATATGTAGCAAGACAACACARCCGGCATTTTGAAGAGCAGACGTGACGACTCTTGGTAGCGACGCAAAATGMGAAGAACTTTGGATAACAGTGTGGTTACTCTTGATCTTGATTAGACGTTTTGCCTCAGCACGCCCACTTGCCAATGGAACTAAAGGAACTCCTTCAAATGCTTTTAAATCAGTGGAAAATTCTGTTCGGAGCCATGACCAAAGACCTTTCAACCACGTCTCTCCCGCCTCACTATCTCGAGGATCCCAAGGTACTACAACYGAGTTATCGCGCCACTCATCAGGAAGAACAGCTCTTAAAAGATCTGGAACTAGAAACGGKGCTAGAAAAACAAGTTGGGATGGCGCTTCAAGACTGTCATCGTCCTTTTCTGCATCAACTATKACAGGTTTCAGAGCATTCATAATAGTRTCGTTCAGATCTCCATCGAGGAATTTCGAACCAGATCGTGGAATAAGGGACTGTGGGTGAAGTCTTGATGCTACAAATATTGCGTTCTTTGGATTGGTTTTGAATGAGTTGGGCCTAAACTCAGTAAATGTTTTGTTCGCTAACGGTAAAAGAGGAAGACCTGCGAGCTCCGTTAAGTCGCCATCTTTTAGCACGAATTCTAGAATGTTTAATCTTTCATTTCTGTCAATGAATGTCCAATTGATCTTACGTTCGTTCGACGTGCTACCTGGAGGCTGSCGTCCATTTAGATCTGAATTCCTTTTTAAGACTTGGCGAACATATGAAGGAGTAACTTCTGGAACATTMTCAACGTGACGTAATAGAAAGTCATCAACTGCTTGTAGAGCATGACCTGCAAGAGGATAAAAAACWMTGTTTGTTGTTGCGTGTAAACAAATCAAAGTTTRGTRTCYCGTCAWAATGAAGAAAGATGCTTCGTTTAGTATACTTAAACACGKGATTAACAATTACCTGGTARACACACTACAGGTTGATTAGCAAGAAGAAGACATTTMACGAYCGCAGCGTTGGTTTCAGATCTTGTYTTAGYCGAAGGACGCGAAAGTCTGCTTAGCACAGCATCTTCAAGTGCGATCCATTTTCCTCCTTCCGCTTCTGTCCAAAAAACTGCCTTGTTGGCCAGCTCTGCAAAGAAAGGTTCCAAGAGTAGCTGCCAGTGTCCTTGTATGCGATCCAAATCAGGGAGAATGGAACTCACTACCGGAAGAACTTCAGTTATTGGGTATTGTGACTGTGTTAGTTGGATAACAAGATGAGCGTAKGCTTTACTAATGACGTCAGTYAGAAGAAGATGATTCCAAACAGCAGTATCGTCATTCTGGCATTCAGTTCCAGGCCATTTAAGATTACGGCGGTTATCTGTAACCCCAAATGTACCATGGATGTGGACGGAGAGACCTGTTCGACAGTCTGACTCAGSGGGGAGGGGTAGAAATGAAAACACTCGTCCAGAACTTGGWTTATTATCGTCTAGTGATGCTGCGACACCTGCCCAAGGTAAAAGATGCAACTGTAATGATAATTCAGATAGTTTAGGATTCTCCCCGCCAAGTCTGTTCAGCACCATATACTTGTATTCCCTTTCACATTTTCCATTCTTAGATTCCTCCAATATCATTTCATACGTCATTTCTTGTGGAAGGCTCATTGACTCCATGGCTTTTGATATGAAGTTTCTTCTCATTTTTCGGATTGATGCTTTCAGGTCTTCCTTGATTGTGATCGAGTATGTTTCTCGCTCTTTCTCATTCTTTGTAGTTTCGTAGAATTTTATTGTTTCCACATTTTTAAGGAAGATTAAAASCAAAGRTGCTTCTTCAATGAACGACTGGAAAAGAGCTTTAACTTTCAAAGCTGTGTAGGGCTTCACTGATACTCTAGAAGGCCATTTTCGAAGTGGAAGACGAAACAGCGTTCCGTTAAAAACAGCTGATGAGATATTACAACCAAGAACATCTTCAAAAGGTGCAAATTGATCGCCAAACCGAGCAAGAGGTGCAGTTCTAAGGTCAAACCGTCGTCCTGTTTCCCCTGCTCCAAAATATGTCTCCTGRGGGTCAAGGAAAGCAACGTAATGGTCGCTCACTACACTTGGCAAATCTAAAAATCACAATGAAATTAAATGTCATTTTGAGATGACAGATAATATTCGCTAAATCATTGAACTCTCTTTGCTGAATCTTGCACAACATTTAATATTAGTAGTCATACATAACACCGACYCCTCCAAGCTAGTTTTCAGCTGACGCTTTGTACTGACTATATTTTCTTATCAATCMAAACTTCATTAAATTCGTTTATAAAATAAAAAAGGTAATCAGACATAATGATTRTTTTTCATTACCTGTTATATGATAAACGGAGTTAAAACCGACACCAAACCGACCAGCTGTGAAAGGATCAAGTCGTTTATTTCCTTGCATAACCCCCTCAATTCCATGCCAATCGTTTTCTTTGAAAAGACCATTATTATATACGTACAACGCCGGTCCTTGGAACTTGGAGAGCTCAGGGTGAATCAAGGAACTTGTACCGAACGCATTTTCGCGTGAATCAAATAGGAATTTAACCTCTGTTGCGCCGGCATCGTCTGCATTTTGAATAAGCTCCTTCAAAAAGAACAGCATCTTTATTAGTTACTAGACTATGTTGTGATGCTGATATGATGATAATGGAAGAAGGTATAGCGATAAGTTGAGGTGCGAGGGTGCTGGCCTGAATCGTGATGGAAGACAGTGGTGAGCCGGTATAGTTGTATGGTGATAGTAAAAATATGATGGTGATGACTGAGATGGTGTTTGTAATGATGATGACCATTGATAGACATAATCAGGGGGGGCATCGTCTAAAGGGTCATTCGGCGTAAAGCCTGGCTCTTATAAAGATGTTAACGGTTGACGATGGTGATGATGGAGAAACTACGAAGATAGCGTTTATAGCGGTTTTAAAACGAGAAGACAATATGAGATTTCCTTACTTTAAGTATTTGCCCTCCATCAGGATAGCCCTCTAAAATTCGGCGMAGAACTGCTGTAAGGGAAGGCCGCCTCTGTCCGTATGACTGACCTAATTTAACAGAACAAATAAATAAAACCACTGATGTTTATACTATATATGACATGGATTTTGCTGAGTTAAAATCTAATAACAYACCACATTCTTACAAACATAAAATGTAACTCATTCAACTATATTTTGCATGGYATGTAACAAACCGATAATTACATGAAATGCCCTCACATTTTGAGATTCAAAAGTATGTTCGTAAACTGTTCAATTAAACCGCCATAAAAATCAAAGTAAATTACAAAATTAATGAAGAAAAACAACAATATCAAAGTACTAGTGAGTTAGAAGATATTTAAGTGTATTACTGTTGATCTGCTGCATTGTTGCAGAGGCTGAGCTCCTCTTGCTCGATTCAATTTGGTATCTTCTTTTAATCTTAGCGAATTCATCTCGATACAGGATTTCATTTAAGACTTTTCCCATGGAAATACGACTTCAACATCTTCTGAGATATGCAAATCCCGTCCCTTAACAGGTACTTCAAAAAACAAAACTACAACGGTGTTCGGGCGTCCTTAGCAACAAGTCCRTCGTAATACCGTTGGTTGGAACGTTCAACTTTAGTAAAGGTGTCAATGAGATGACACGACGTAGATTGTCTGATGAAATAATGAATTATATATTGCTGCACTTTCTTCACTTAGGAAATACTTAAAAAAGTTTAATGAGTTTTAAAACTTACTGAAGAGAGTTCATTTTCAAGCATAAAATGGCAAGAGTTCCTTTTACCGCAAGAAGTTTAAAAATGGCGAAAAGAAACTAATTTGTTTTCAAAGCTACGATAAAATGATGAATATCCATTTGCCAAACTTGATGAGACTTCTTGGTCCGCCATTGTCGGAGCTGTTTTCTCCCAAGGGAGCAATCTGTCTTTTTACAACTTTGTCAGCATTAAACACAGCTTTACAGCTCACTCTGGTCTAACGCTAGTTATTCCTTCATTTGTTCTAAGAGTTCAAGACCTTTTAGACAGGTGAAAAACATTTGCATCAACAAATGTGTCAACAAGGCTTTTATTCACACTACAAACTTTATCAAAATTGAGTGTTCAGTTCCGCAATGTTTTAACACTAAAATCTACTTATGGCAGTATATATGATAGCTTCGAATTGGCTTCATTAGGCTGCACGTTTATACGAGTCGAATATTTTCATAACCGTTCTGATATATTGATGATTATTGTCGTATTAATGCACACTATAATATTCAGTTTAAAAAAATATGCGCGCAGCCTCATTGCCATGAAATGAAGACTCGCGCAGACCGAACTCTGTACTTCTCATGATGAAAATGAAGGATCACGCTGACCGAACTCACTATGTACTYCTCAWGATGAAAATGAAGGATCACGCAGACGGAAATCACTGATGTAGTTCTCACGATGAACAATGTTCTGTGTGTCAATAAATTGTTAACGCAAATAAGATTAATGATCCCTGTTAATTGATATAATTATCGCTTCGCTGATCAACAATCATCTAAATCTACCAAAAAATATGTACAAAATAACGAAATTTTATGGTTCACCTCTATGAGTTAAGCCATGTAGCTGGCCAACTTGCACAAATCATTTCTATAAACTGCAGTATTTACAAATTTATGGMAGACTTCATTTCACTGAATGTCGATACATGGGCTACAACAGTGTAAAAATGTAGCCCTTTTTATAACTTTTTATGTTATCTTTGATACTTTGCAAATATCGCGCAATAAGATGCAAAAGTTTTGTCACTATTTTCTGAACTCGCACTCGTTAAAGATACATTATAAGACTTCTTGTTTTGCTAATGTCGTACCTTGGATCTGCTTTACTCTATCCATCTTGGACAACCCCTTCAAAACCCATCATTGCTATTTAGATCAATAATGAATGACATCCTGGTATCCTGTTGTTAACAATAAAAGGCATTTATAAACCAATCTTTAGGAATGTATCTTGTCATTATGACATGACGAATATAATAAACTGTAAACTGCTKCACAGAATGCAAAAAGTATCATCATCCATTAGTCATTACAAAAACCAGAAACTCGACGAACGTTTGGCTGAACACCGCCAATATGACGATAAATTCCGAATACGTTCCGAATRTTCGTCACCGTATAAAAATGTTCAGTAATAAATGTTAATTGATCGCAGAAAATGTTATCCAAACAACGTTATCTTTAGTTTGCTCACAAATCAACCCAGAAATAATGACAGTATTTTAACCATTCGTGCGAGAGAGAACGCGATAAACATTTGCAGACACACGAACCTTCAGTATGTGAGCAATCAAGTCGATTGTCAATACTCGCCCTGATTACCGGTACACACTTCAGTTAACTTTAAAAMTTGCTTCAAATTCAGCATAATTACCTGTTTCAGCTTGTCAGTGGAATCATTTTGCGTAAATCTCGTTTATTGGCATAGTATATTTTCCATAAATGCCACTTTATAGGTCGATACAAAGAGAATAAGCTTCCCCAACCGTTTCTTTCTTCTTGACGCACTGTAATCATGGATTACCCAATCCCATAGTAGTTTCTGATAATAAACAAAAGATTCAAAAAAAAATTCATTAAGTCTTTACAGGTCAACGACTTTCATACAGATATGCAAATTAGCGCGCTTTGTGAATGATGTCATCGTATATCGTTTAAATACTTTCGACTATTTATCAGCTTTGTCCAACAAAAAGTTCACAATTGATTTTTTTTCAAGCTTTCCGTCCTCTAATATAAATTCAACAGCTTATTGATTGATAGATGCTTGCGCACTTGTGACTTTAGAAAGGTGCGTTATACATCATACTTAGTTACGAAAACTACAAGCTCTCATTACTGAGCAA